CAGGGGGAATCTGCCACCCAAGGAAAGGGGCTGGCGGGGAGATGTAGGCCCACCTGCTCCACTGTGTCCCAGCCCAAGGCCCTAGCAGTGGTGGCGCCACGGCCACTGGGCTGGCGGGGCTCTAAGCTATAATGCGCCATCTGGGTTGGTGGGTCAGCAGAGGTCCGAACCGCAATGCGCTGCCCAGCTGACCTCCATTTCTTCAGCTGCCTTGGCATTGGCTGTTCCTGGGCCCTGTTCCCCCTGGGGGCCTCCATGGCTTGGGGGCTGCTCCTCAGCATCAGCTGTGATGGAGGTGCTGGCAGCATGTCCACGGGCTTTGGGTCCTGCGTGGGTAAGAGTCCAGGCAGTCCAGCCTAGCAAGGGTCCTGGGGGTCCGGGTAAATCTGTGGGCTTGGGCAGTGTCTTCTGCAGCCTTGTCCAATGATCCAGGTCTGGCAGCGGCCATGGTGGTCTAGGCCAGTGCTCAGAGTCCGGCAGTAGGCCAGGTGGCCCAACCCAGTTCTCCCTCTGAGGGCAGTGTGGCAGGGCCTTCCTCCACTGTGGCTGGGGAAGAGCCTTTGCCCTGCTTGGCAGCCAAGCTCTTCTCTTTATACCTCCGGCCCCACCTTTCTGTTTGCTGTGGGTGGAGCTGGGTGGCTCTGGTACTGCTCACGAAGGGTTTTTTGTGGGAGTTTCCTCCTTTGGTTCAGTGGGGGGCCACGCTAACTCACTATATGGTACATTGGAACTTAGGCCTAATTGATGGGCAAGTTAATGAAGGGATTATACCTATCACTCCCTTTTTGGGGACTTTCACCAACATCTTTTCTACTATTGAAAGAATATTAAAAGGGGGTGCATTCCTTTTTAAAAACTCTGTATAGCTAAAGAGAAAGTGAGCAAAGGTTCTTTTTAAAATGAAAGCCTTTATTTAACAGTTTACAATCCAAATGCTTTAACTATTTTTCTTTATTTTCTGTATTACTGTACTGTATAAATACTTATTTATTTTCTGTATTAAAAAATAATGGTGTTCTTGCTATTGTACTAAGCAGGAAAGGTCTGTCCGTGTATGCCAAAAACTGAAGTTTGTTTGAAATTGTTTAAGGTTGGACAGTGACAGTTTAACATCTTTTAACACTTTGATTCTAAGTAGTCCATTGAAATTAATAGCAGGCCCCATTGTGTTTTGCTCTGCTAAAGATAATGGCCCCTACCCCAAAATTTAGTTCAGTGTTTTGTACTCTTTTAAACTCTTTCCACTTATCACCATAATGATGTTTATGCTATATTGTTGCTATATTATATCTTTGAATGTATATAGTACTGTTGTATAGCACTCAGATTTGATGGGGGGGGGGAGCATTAGAAAGAATATATCAACTGCTTATGATTAGATATGTAAAGTAGTATTGACCAAAAAAAATTCTTCTTGTGCTGTAACTAGGCCATACTTAGTGAACTTACTGCCCTGTTTAACACGGATAAGTAAACGACCTGAAGAATCAGTACAAGAGACGCTGGCTGCAGCAATACCAAAAATCATGGCAGCATTTGGCAACTTTGCAAATGACAACGAAATCAAGGTAATGCTGCTTTAAACTATTAAGAAATATTTGTATTGTACATGAGTACATAGTTAATCAACCATTAGAACCATTAATGAAATGTGATTGACTTACACTGTAACCTCTACCGATTTGAATTATTAAAGTATATGTTATTTATAATTAGGCTTGTAAAACATGTTCTTCAGTACCCTTTTGATTTCTTATAGTAACTTTTAAATCAAAATAACTTTTTGGGAGGGTAGAGGGCAAGAATTTTATTGTTTGCTTGCTTACTGACTTCTGCCTGCCTTTAACTTTCATGATTTTTATTTTTTGCAACCTTTTAGGTTTTATTGAAGGCTTTTATTGCTAATCTTAAATCCAGTTCTCCTACTATCCGTCGAACAGCAGCTGGATCAGCAGTAAGCATCTGTCAACACTCACGAAGAACACAATATTTTTATACCTGGCTACTGAATGTGCTTTTAGGTAAAATTCAGAAAACTGCTCCTACTTCATAAGGCATGAATAATATTGGGGGAAAAACAGAATTGGCCAAATAAAATCATGATAGTAATTACTATGTTATATTATAGTTTTGCTTCAGACATTTTCTTTCATGTTAAGTGTAACAAGTGTCTGCTTTATGGCAAAGGCGGGAGGGATAGCTCAGTGGTTTCAGCATTGGCCTGCTAAACCCAGGGTTGTGATTCAATCCTGGAGGGGGCTATTTAGGGATCTGGAGTAAATCTGTCAAGGATGGTAGTTGGTCCTGCCGTGAAGGCAGGGGACTGGGCTTGATGACCTCTCAAGGTCCCTTCCAGTTCTGTGAGATAGGTATGTCTCCATATATTTAATGGTTCTCAACCAGGAGTTTACATACTCTTGGGGGCAGCTAGAGATCTTATAGGAGGTACATCAACTCATTTAGATAGTTGCTGGTTTTGCTACAGACCACATAAAAAGCAGTAGTGAAGTTAGTATGAACTAAAATTTCATACAGTGACTTGTTTATACAGCTGTATACATTATGCACTGCAATGCAAGTATAGTATTCATATTCTAATCAATATATTTTATTATAGGTAAAAATGAGAAAGTAAAGTAGTTATTTAATAGTAGTATGCACTGGCACTTTTTTGTAAGTAAATAGTTTTTAAGTGTGGTGAAGCTTTGGTGTCCACAAGACAAATCAGACTCCCCAAACGAGTACAGTAGTTTGGAAAGGTTGAGGGCCGCTACTCTATGGTACACTTAATCAACATAATGAAAAAATAGGTAGGTTTAATTTTTGTCTTTTGTCAATGGGACTTTTACAGACACATAATGACATACCTCTATGGTACTCAACACTGCTTCCCAAATCAGATACATGTATCTAATGGAAAAAAAGAAAAGTTTGAGTAATATAGTAAATTACAACTCCCCATGTGTTTGAAGGACAAACAGTTTCATTAGTCTGTCACCTATGAAAATGTTTTTCTAATTCTAGTTCTATTAATGCAATAAACAAGGATTTATTGCTAAAAGAATAAGACTTGGCAAAGAAATGATGGTATTTTTCAGCTTTCATAAAAAAACAGAAAAAAACTAAAATCCAAATCAATGTTATAATTATTTCATTGTTTAGATGGACACAGCCCAGTGAGGGTGTCAGAGATTATTCTCTGATGTTGAAAGGTAAATCAAAGAAGGGAAGCATACAGTTGGAGCATTGGGAGGGGTTGTTCTAGGATCTGAAAAGGATAACAAAATGTGAGGAAACCATGGTTGTATGCAGCAGAGTTATCTTTTGGTGAGAAGGATCTTGGCTCTTTTCCCCCCAAGGGTATCTGTTTTGACTTTCTAATTGCTTCTCATTAGTGGATGCCTACATTTCCTGAAGCACCTCTCATGTTCGTTTTTCCTTCTTTAAAAGCCATCCTTGAAGGATATCGCTGGCTTTCTGTATTTGAGGAACTAAGTTTTGAGTTAGGGATATAGAAGGTTAACTGGTAGGTGCTAGACCACTTCCCTGCCCACCTCAGACTGAGCGCTCCTCCAACCCTGTGAGGCTCATTGGAGCAACTCCCATCTGTGGTGCCCTTCCCCTCCCCCCAGGTTACATGCTGGTTCTCTGGGATCATGAGTGCACATAGCACTTTCTAGATCTGTGCACTGCAGGGGTAAACTAGCATATCATCCCTTGTAGCGGTGTATTTGAGTGAAGCTCTTGAACCTCAGCACCATCAGGTACAACACCATCATGGTTGGGTAACTTGCAGTCCTGCAGCATTCGCCTTCTCTTTCATCCATGGAGTTGAGCTCCTGTCAACCAGATATCCAGAGTCAAGGACCTTTTGTAGCTTTTATAATAGATAACGTTCATGAAACACATGAAGCGGTGCAGGAGGTTATTGTTGTTACCAAGCAAGACTCCCAGGCCTGCTGGCTTTGAAATGTCTACATACTGCACTAAAGCAGGATCCGCCTCAGTCGTCTTTGCACTCATCATCCTCATCGCCAAGTGAGACTGTAGTTCAATGGGATTTCTTATATGTTGAAAATTCCTTACGTTACAAGTCTTATCAAGATCTTTTAAGGACAGTAGCTGTCTCAAAATAGTCCTGTTGAGGTGGGTGTGCAGAATTGTAATTTTCCCTTTTAAGAGCAGAGCAGGCATTGCCCTTTTAAGGTGACCATTTTGAACTCTGCATAGGATGCCGACCCTTTCAGAGCCTCTGGTGCAGGAGCCGCAAGTTTTTCTTTGAAGAGCTACATACGGCTCCCGAGCCGTGGGTTGGCCACCCCTAGCCTAGATATTCCATGTTTAATTCCTGAAGGGGCAGAGTGTTCAAGGACACGTGCAAACATTTTCCTGAATATCCGAAAGCTATCTATACAATACTCTTACTTGTTAAAGTTGAAATGATTATCCTTATATTCAAGACAGAAAGGTGTTTAACCAATCTTAGCTTCTCTCCAACATGTTTTGGATTACTTGTTCCACCAAAAACAACAAGGCATATCCGTTAACTGCCTAAATGATCTCTGCTTTCCACAAAGGGTGGACTTGGTATTTTTTGGTCCATTTGTCAGATTTTGGGAGGGTGTGGACAGTTTATATCCCAGTGTCCTAGATCTTTCCTTTCTGGGTCTGGTGCCAGAAATGATGACGGGATTGCTCTTTGAATTGGTTGCTGCCTGCTCTTTGCTGCGTTTCTCGAAGGAAGTAGCATTTTTAATAATTACTGCACCAAGGATGATGGTAGAGTTATGAATGTTGAGAGCTGACCCTCCTTACATACTTTTATATATTTGCCTCTGCATCAAAAATCATAATTAAGGTAGTAGAATTCTACTTGTCAGGCCATATAATTACAAATGTTTATAAAGATTAGGAGAATGTTCATACGTTGCTGTCTTTTTGGACATTGCTAGATTTTTTTTACATTGTCATACCAGCTGTTCATTACAATTGTGTCATGATGAAAGGCCTTTTAGTTTTGACACAAGATTCAATTCAGGATTTTTTTCCTACATATGCCAGTGTACCTACTACGGATGAGAAAATGTAACCATGTACATGGTTAATTGATGAGCCTGGGTTGATCACTTAATGTACATGGTTACACACAGGCTCTTGGTATGCATGGGGAGCTGCCTGCTGCCCTTCACTGCTGCCTCTGAAACAGAGGGATGAGGAGAGGGGCATGCGGGATCTTGTGCATGCAGGGAGCTGGTTTAAAGGCCTCAATCCTGCACCAGTGGATAAACCAAGAGAAAAGTTGGTTACACACATACCCCTGAAGTGGAATGAAAATGTGAAGTGCATTTTGAAGAACCATTTCAGAACAGGGTAGTAAACCATTTTTGTTTTCCATCTCTCTTAAAAATGCTTCTGACATAGTGTTATTTTTTTAATAAGTAAAAACTGTTGATATCGTCTTGAGTTGCTGCATAGTACTTGTATTACCAATAAGATAAGTCATTTTTTTTGCAGGTCTGTTAGTACCTGTGGAAGATGAACATCCTACTCTTTTAATTCTTGGAGTACTGCTCACACTAAGGTATCTAATACCATTACTGCAGCAGCAAGTGAAGGATACCAGTCTGAAAGGCAGTTTTGGTGTAACAAGAAAAGAAACAGAGATTTCACCTTCTCCAGATCAGCTTATACAGGTGACAGTCAAATTGTAACTCATTTTAAGTATTAATTGGTTTGAGGCAATAAACATCCTTGTAATATACACTATATTCTATTTCTCATATTTGTCATCAACTATTTTATTTCTGAGTTGTGAAGGGTTTATTTTTTATTTTATTTTATTTTGTGATTGGCAAAATACATATCACTACAAAGTGCAATGGCAATATTATGAATTATTAGTAGGCACTAAGGACCATCACAAACGTACTTGACTTGCCTTTTCTAATATAGCAATATATATGCTGTTTTAAAATAAAAAACCTTACCAAAACAAAACCCCACATTACTCATAGAATTTTCTTTGTGGGAAAAGGATGAGGGAAAACAAACTTTATCTGACAGATGTTAATCACATCACTTAATGCACTACTGGAAGATTAGAACATGGCTGTGAGGGTGGTGTATGAACCTATTTAGAAAAGACTATAGCTATAAATATTTACTTTCTAAGGTTTCTTCAATTTATAGGTCTATGAGCTGACTTTGCATTACACTCAGCATCAGGACCATAACGTTGTGACTGGAGCTTTAGAACTATTACAGCAACTTTTTAGAACGCCACCACCTGATCTTCTTCATGCCCTGACCACTTCAGGGGGCATTACACAGGTCAGTGTATCCAAAGATGAGTCTATCAGCAGAAGCCGCAGTGGAAGCATATTAGAGCTTATAGGTAAGCAATATTTTTGGTGTTTTTAGCTGAGAGCAAAGCATACATTGCAGGCTTTTTAAAATCCTGAATTAGCCAAAATGATTTAAAAAAATAGCATTTAAAAACCTGTGTATGGAAACTTCGAGCTTTTTCAGAAGCAGGTGTGCAGGTTCTTTATGCACATATTGGAGATATGGGAATGTGGCTCAAAATTCTTAACATAAATATCTTAGCACAGTCTCACGTTTTGTGCTTACCTCCTTTTGTTTAACCAGAAGTTGTCAGACCACCATTCTATTTGATGACTTGATGAGAAAATTACCAATCTTTTCACCAGGCAACCGTGATGCATGGAAAGCTGATCTAATAAAAATGTACATTAACTATGAAAGCTCATTATCAGTTGTCCAGTTTACCAACAAGTAGGGCTGTCAAGCGAGTAAGAAAATTAATCACAATTAAAAAAATTAATTGCGATTAATCACACTGTAAAACAGTAATAAGAATACTATCTATTTAAATATTTTTGGATGCTTTTTACATATTCTAATATATTGATTTCAATTATAACACAATACAAAGTACATAGTGCTCACTTTGTATTTATTTTTTATTACAAAGCATTTACACTGTAAAAAAAAAAAAAAAACAAAACCTTCAGTTCACCCCACTGAAGTATTGTAGTACAAATTCTATCATGAAAGCTGAACTTAAATTTTATATAATCAATGTATCCTTTTTTCTCTCTGCCCCAGCTGTGGGTGGCCCAGGGCCAGAGGGAGGTAGACTCTGCTGTGGGCACTGCAGAGTTTGGGGGAGAGGGGAGGCTGGGCCTGCAGATGGCATAGGGCTCAGGGGTGGGGGGCAGCCCCTGGGCTCTGTGTGTGTGTGTGTGTGTGTTTGTGGACCCCACCATGGGCAGTGCAGAGTTCGGAAGGGGGGGACTCAGCCCCAGAATAAGATGTGGGGGGGAGGGTTAGTCCCAGCCCCAGGAGGCAAAGAGAGGTGGCTTAGGTGAGCCCTGCGGTGGGTGTGTGTGTGTGTGTGTGTGTGGACAGTTTGGGCAAGCCCTCCCTCCCCAACTGTTTTATTTAAAAAAAAAAAATATATGATCATCTGGGAGGGGAGAGGGATGTGTGTCAGGATCTTTACTTTTCTTGTTTACTTCTCCACTGGAGCTGGAACCACCGCTTCAGTTTTTTTCCCCTCCTTTCTGGCTGCTTTGTTTTTCTGTTTGCCCTTTGGTGGCGGTTTGCATTACTGCGGCTTACCGGAGATGGTCTCTGAAGCAGTTCATGTTGGTTTGCTAACCTCTGCGATTAACTCAAGTTAATTTTTTAATGTGTTAATTCTGCCCTGCATTAATCGCAGGCGTTAATGCCCACTAATTGACAGCCCTACTACCAAGATAAATTAAGCTTGTCTGTAGTTGTTTTTTAAGGTTTTGATGCTTTTGTCCGAGATGCATGTTCTTATAAATAAAATACTATCTTCACTCTTTTAAGTTCCTGAAATGAAAATCTTAATCCCTGATTGGACTTTAAAAAAAACTTTGCTTTTTATGCAGAACTCATTTTCTGCATTAGAGGAAAGAATGAACATTTCAATCTCTAATATACAAGTTTGCTGCTAGTAGGTGGTAATTCATTAGCCACACTAAAAAAAATACTGCAATGACAAATTAATTGTGCTTTTAAAAGTATACAAAACTTCAGCTGAGTTTTTTTTCTGTAGTGCGAAGAAGTGTTTGAGTACAACATTTAGAGATATTCTACCTCACAAGGATTTGAAACCTTAAGAGATTTTCTATTTAATTTTCTAATGTTTATCTAATGACCTTATGAGGCTATTAGAATTCCTGCTTAATTTCAGCAGCTTTGTTCTTTACTCTGATGTATTACTTTGTGATTTGCAGCTAGAGGGGGGTCTTCATGCAGCCCTGTTCTGTCAAGAAAACAAAAAGGTGACTATCTTCAGAATCACAATTTCTTAATCACATTCTTTTTTTTTGATTTTTCACTTTCTTGTCTTGCTAAATTTTTATCTCCATTCACTAATGCATTTCTCTTTGCAGCTGGGATTGAAGAGTATACATCTAACTATTGCCAGTTTGACATTACAACCAAATTTAGTAAAGCAGTTAAACAGAAATATTACTATTTTTTTCCTTGCTTTGCTGGCCGAATGATCCTGGCCTTCAATGATGCAGCTTTGACTTTTTAAGTAGCACTTGTTAAAGTAATCTCTGACGGGGCCAAATTACCCCTTCCTCCCCTTTAACAACAATATTTGGATGGGAATGAAACCAATAAAAGTTAATTTTCTAATTTAATTCTGTTATGCTTTTTGATCTTTTTTTCCACTAATGCATGTGTGTGGCTTGCATGTTTTAAAATGCCACTTGTGTCTAATCTAGTCATTTTGTCCTGTGATGACTAACATTGCTCACTTACGACCGTATTACCTATCTTTTTTTTATTTTTTTCTCTGTCACTGGATGTTAATGTTCAAATCTTAGTTTGAGTGCTCACCCTTAGATGTTCTGTGAACAGTTTGGCCATAATAAGGTACTTCATATTTAATCATATTTATGTAGTTTTCTGAAGAAGCTTAACAGCAGAAATGAAATCATTATAAACCCTATCCTGTCAGGATTCATTCATGCTGACTTCTGCTGTGCCGGTGCAAAATCCCTTTGGCTTGTGTGACGTTTAGCATGGAAACAGATGTCTGTGCTAGTGAATTCCAGTGTAGGATTTCCAGTGTAGAGAAGGAAGTACAATGGAGAAAAATACCTTTCCTGGGAGAAACAATTTAGAAGTAGAACGGGGATTCAACAAGCATTTGTTTCCACTACACCAGTTAGGGCCATTACAGCATCTAATTTACACTTCCAAATAGTCCCTCTACTTGGTGATTGTATATGTGAAAATCACTAAACTACAGTATTCTTGAGTATTTAAAGTGACAGGAAAACATCTTAATGAGAGAAACAGGGATTAGGGTTGCTAATTATCTAATCACATAAACCGAAATACCCCTGTGCCACTTCTTCTCTGACGCCCTGCCCCTACTCACTCCATCAGAACAGACTGGTCCCCCAGGGGTCTGCACTGGAACCAGTCCTATTCAACGTATTTGTAAATATCTGGAAAAGGGAGTAAACAGTGAAGTAGATAATTTGCAGATGATACCAAATGTATTCAGGATTGTTCACTCCAAAGCTGACCAAAGAGTTAACAAAACTGCCTGACCAAATTCAGTGTCAATAAGTGTAAAATAACGCACATTGGAAAACATAATCCAAACCATACAGCTATGGGTCTCAAACCACTCAAGAGATTTTTGGAACCATTATGCGTAGTTCTTGGAAAACATCCACTGAATGTGCAGTAGCAGTCAAAAAAGCAAACAATGAGGCAACTACATCTGCATGCAGTATTCAAGATGTGGGCATACCATATTTTTTTGTAGAAGCACTAATGTAGTCTCTGTCTTATTCTCTATCCCTCTCTTAATGATTACCAACATTGTTTGCTTTTTTGCCTCTATATAAATCCATGGTAGGACCACATCTCTCAAATACTGTGTACACATGTGGTCACCTCTTCTCAAGAAAGATAGTCTTTAGAAAAAGTTCAGCAAAGGGCAATCAAAATGGAGTATGGAGAAGCTGCCATATGAGGAGAGATTAATAAAACAGGGACTTTTCAGGTTGGAAAAGAGGAGACTAAGTGGGGATAAGGTAGAGGTCTATAAAATCTACACACGAGTAATGAAAGTAGATACAGAAGTGTTATTTACTCTTTTTTCCAAAATACAAGAACAAGGGGTAACTAAATGAAATTCATAGGCAGCAGGTTTAAAACAAACAAAAGGAAGTACAATAGACTTCCGATAATCCGGAACCTATGGGACCTAGGTGGTGCTGGATTATCAAATATGCTGGACTATCAGGAGGTACTATAAGATGGTTATATATATATATATATATATATATATATATATATATATATATATATATATATATATATATATATATATATATATATATATATATAACTATAAACTGGTTTTATATATATATATATATATATATATATATATATACACACACTGTATACATTATATACTGTATATAAAGTGTTCTTAACCCTTTTTATTGTACATACTGTGTACAGTGTACTGTAATGTTTTAGTTTTTTAAGCCTTTTTTTACCCTTTCGGCTCAGTTCAGCCGCTGCCGCTGTTACCTTGTGACTCATTTTTTGCCAAAGCTCACTCACTAGGCTCTTGCTATTTTGATGCCAGACTATCAGGAGTGCCGGACTATTGGAGTTTTACTGTATTTCTTTACAAAATGCACAGTCAATCTGTGGAACTTCCTCCAGATGATGTTATGAAGGCCAGGATATTATCAGGGCTAAAAAAGAACTAGATAGGTGCATCAATGGCTATGAGCTAGAATGGGTATTTATTTATTTATTTTAACATTTTAACCCTGCCTTTCTGTTTAAAATATCCAAGGCGGCTTACAGGGTAGAGCTGGTGTCCCTGACCTGTACGTCAGGGTTGGGAATGGGCAACACAGGATGGGATCATTTGATTACCTGTTCTGTTCATTCTCTTTGGGGCATGTAGCATTCGTCGTTGGAAGAAGGGCTACTGGGCTAGATGGACCGATAGTCTGACCCAGTATGGCTGTTCTTATGTTCATCTTCCTCCCTCTGTCACTCACATGCCCCCACTTTCCTCCCCATTTTCTGAAGCCTAAAATGGGAGATCAGCCGGTGGTACAACAAGGGGCTGAGCCAGGCTCCTCCTCCTCCTTTCTCATAACAATGTCGTCCCTGTTGTTGCCCAAGGCTGCTTGAAGAGCCTCTTGGGGAGGTATCCACAGACACCTATAGGACACTGGTCAGGACCCCCTAGAATTCCATGCAGCTGCTCATGGAAGTGGTATGTTTATGACTCTGACCCAGATCGTCTGTTTGCCTCTTTTGTCTTCTGATATGCTTTCCTGAGTTCATTTATTTTCACGCAGCACTGCTAGGTGTCCCTGGCCTATCCTTTTTTCACCATGTTCTGTGTATTTTTTGGCGTAGATATTCCTCATTTAACATGTGCCCGCTTAACACTTTTTCGCGATAGCATGATTTTTTTTTTGGGAACGCTTTGGAATTACATGACCACCCCCGGAATAACATGATTTCCTCAGCCAGCCCATTGCTGGTGGCTGCACATGGCTTCTCCCGCCTCCCTGCAAAGCAGCAGAGGGTTTGCCGCTCTCTGCACCGTTCCCCGCTGACTCCCTCTTGCCGGACTAGCTGTTGCCTGCTGACTCCCCCTTTGCCTGGCGGCTGGTTTTCCCCAGCCGGCCCGTTGCCAGTGGCTGCACGGGGCTTCCCCCGCCTCCCTGCAAAACAGCGGAGGGTTCACAGCTCGCTGCGCTGTTTGCTGCTAACGGACCCCTCCCCCTCTCGCCGGACACAGTGCGGGTCCCGGCAGACCTGTCACAGGGGCATACTCCCAACCCAATCCCCCTCCCCTCTCCTCCCTTTCCCAGAGCCCACTGTAACCCAGTCTCCTTTCTCCCCCAACCTAATGTCCTGGTTCCAACAGACACCATCACTTGAAACACAACCCCCACCTTTTCTATTATTTTCAATGGGAAAATTGACCCCGCATAACACGTTTTCACTTTACACAATCATTTTCTGAAACATATCTGTAGTGTTAAATGAGGAATTACTGTACTAGAATTTCTTCCATTGCTTCATAGTTCTGCCTGCACAGATTGTTCTCCCCACTGCAGTCAGATCTAGGATTTCCTGTGTGCTCCGTGCTGGAGCTCATTTGCAACCTGGAGCATTCATGGTCAGGTGTGCTGCCAGCTCTGCTCTTTACACTGTCCAAATAGGAACTGAAATTCAAATTTTCCCAGGGCTTTTCCTGTGTACCTAGAGCGCAGCAGAGTTGAAAGTGCGGGCCAGAGTGGTCATTGCAGAACACTGTAGAGTTCTTCTTCGAGTGGCCCCGTGGGTGCTCCACTCCAGGTGTTGGGTCCCGTTCCGGCGCCGCGAATCGGAGAGCTATCAGAGCCGTGGTCCGCCGGACCGCGCATGTGTGGCTGCCCGAGGCGGCGTTCACGCCTTTGATGTGTTGTGTGCGGTCTGGCTTGCTCAGTTCCTCTCAGCCGCCCTCGGTCGCGGACGAGAGCTCCTTCTTGTCAGTTTCATTCCAACGGTTTTCTCCCAGAGTCTTCACATTTGGTAAATAGTTCAGAACTCTTCCTTCCTTACTTTTGCGTTAAATTGACCAGTTCTACAAAAAAAAAAAAACCAAAAGCAAGGCGCTAGAGTCTGATGCCACCCCTGCCTCCGGCACAGCAGCCCAGAAATGGCGGGCAACGTCTCCCGGGACAGCAGTTACAAAAAAGACTAAGGCGTCCCCAGCTCGATCGTTGCCAGACACCACCAAAATGAGATGCCCTGACGAGGCATCTGGGTCAGCAGCTCCAGGGCAGAAACGGGCTCCTGGACAGACGAGACCGGCACCGGCTCCAAAAACTGCACAGAAGCCGACGATTGCAGGACTGCGAAAGCCGGCACCGCCAACTGCCGCCCAAGCAGCACCGGCAGCGGCGATTTTAAACCCCTTGGTGCCGAGCCGCCAAGTCTCTCAGGCGGCACCATGGGCTGATCTGCTGGCACCGGGCTCTTCCTTGGCACCGTCAACGCCGCCCCCATGTGGCGATAGAGGCACTACAGCCGCGTGCGGCCCCGAGCTCTCCACCAGCAGATGAAATTGACAAGGCTTCACTGCCTTGCAAAGCTGCAGAGAAAGAAACTTACAGGGCGCTTTCCCCATCGCCTTCCTTCTCCACCCAGGTACCGAAGGCACCGGGACTATAGCCTTTCTCCATCTCATCAAGTGCTTAGAGGACCTTCCCATGGGGACACGGTCTATATAGAAACTAGACGCCCCCCATCAAGTTCTCGCTTCCCAAGGGGGTCATCAAGGCATAGATCACCTAGGCGGTCACCACGGCGGATCTACTACATCCGCAGTTCAAGATCCTCCAGGTACTCCTCACCAGCATGGTCTGACCATTACTATGGGCGCTACCATAGGGCTGAATATGATCGCCCCCACCCTGGACATGCTACTCTATCTTAGACGGGTACATGAAGAACCCCTATATCACCTAGTGCGCAGCACTTACCTGAGCGTCCACAAAGATTGTTTTCATCGCCTCCATCAGAAAACTTACCCATCCATCAGGATCACTCAGAACCAGAAGAGGGCCAACTGTCCGAGACAGAAGATCCTCAGCCACACATTTCTCCAGCTGACTGTTCCTAATCGTCACCGGATGAAGCAATGATTCCAGATAACGCCTCTCCCTTGGATGACCAGAAGCAGTTCCATGACCTATTCCAAAGGGTTAACAGACGTTCCCATGAAGAAACATCGTCTCTTGAAGAATTTGCGACAGCAACAACGGGCAAGAATTGCCCTCCCTATCGATGAGGCCATCATGGAAGTGGCAGACGAAATATGGCAGACCCCTACATCGGCTGCCCCAGCTAGTAAGAGGGTTGATAGGAAGTATTTCGTACCTGCTAAAGGACTGGATTTCCTTTTCAACCACCCTCAACCCAACTCTGTTGTAGTTGATGCGGTACAGCGGAGGGCTAAGGCTCCTCAATATAAGAATACAATCCAAGACAAGGATAATAAAAAATTGGATGTGTTTGGAAGAAAGGTTTACTCTTTAGCTACGTTATTGTTACGAGTCGCAAATTATATGGCCCACCTTTCTAACCACAAATTTGATAACTATTCAAAGCTTACAGAGCTACTACAATATCTACCTGATGCTAAGAAACCCTTACTGAAGGCCATAGTCCAAGAAGGATATATAGCCTGCAATATTACCTTGCAGATGGCCATGGATGTGGCCGACACAGCTGCACGGGCCACGGCTACGGGGGTCGCAATGAGGCGGTCTTCCTGGTTATCATCCGCCGGAACTTTGCGGGAGCTTCAGAATAAAGTAGAAGATCTACCCTTTGAGGGTACCAAGTCAGTTTCGGGGAAAAGGATTTTATTCCCGGTACTTCCTTACCCCAAAGAAGACAGGAGGGTGGAGACCCATTTTGGACCTACGCAAGCTAAACCGCTACCTCAGGAAACATCGCTTCAAGATGGTGACCCTAAATGCCATCATTCCACCGTTGAACAAGGGAGACTGGTTTGCAGTCCTCGACCTGCAAGACGCCTACTTCCACATAGCGATCCATGTGGCACACAGGCGTTTTCTCCGCTTCCAGCTAAGTCAAGAACATTTCCAGTACAGAGTACTACCTTTCGGCTTGGCATGTGCACCCAGAGTTTTCACCAAAACCTTAGCGGTAGTGGCTGCACACTTGTGCAGGCTGGGAGTGACAATTTTCCCATACTTGGACGATTGCCTCCTAAGAGGCCAAACTTATTCAGAGGCCAAACACATGGTGACAACAGCCTCAGGTTTTTCACTCTCTGGGTCTACTCATAAACATGCAGAAATCCTCGCCAGAACCTACACAAGATCTGATCTTTATAGGGGCGAGGCTCGATTCAAGAACAGCGCGCGCTTATTTACCCGCCGAACGTTTCGCCGCTATTCAAGATCTTGTTCACACGCTGACGTATGCTCCAACGATTCCCGTCAGAGTGCCGTTACAACTACTGGGACACATGGCTGCCTCAACAACTATTGTTCAAAACGCAAGGTTACATTTTCGCTGCCTTCAACACTGGCTGACACGCTGACGTATGCTCCAACGATTCCCGTCAGAGTGCCGTTACAACTACTGGGACACATGGCTGCCTCAACAACTATTGTTCAAAACGCAAGGTTACATTTTCGCTGCCTTCAACACTGGCTGACTACAGTATACACTCCGATGAAGGATAGCATTCACAAGGTGGCGGCGATACCATCACATGTACAACAATCCCTACAGTGGTGGACCAAGTCCACCAATGTTATGGCGGGCATTCCTTTTCACCGTCCTCAACCGTCAAAGCAAATAACAGATGCATCCCTTACTGGCTGGGGAGTGCATATGGACGACATGACGGTTCAAGGTCACTGGTCTCCGCAGGAGATGCTCTTACATATCAACATTCTCGAGTTAAGAGCAGTACGTCATGCATGTCAGCATTTTCAGTCCCATATAAGGAACACGACCGTCAGAATCCTTACGGACAATATTGCCACCATGTACTATGTAAACAGACAGGGAGGGGCTCGATCCCAGTCCCCCTTTGTATAGAAGCGATGCGCTTGAGGAACTGGTGTACCCGCATCAATACCATCTTGACAGCCACCTATTTGCCGAGTGACTCACTCAGCAGGCTGTTTCCCCACGACCACGAGTGGGAACTTCGCACGGACATTCTACACGGTATTTTCGCCCAATGGGGGTTTCCCTCAATAGATCTGTTCGCTACTGCTGCCAATGCCAAGTGCCCCTATTATTGCTCCAGGGCAGGGATCGGACATCGCTCCTTGGGAGATACTTTTCTCCACAATTGGGGAACGTCACTGCTATACGCCTTTCCCCCGATCGTCCTAGTTCCCAGGATCCTGGAAAAGATCACTATAGAAAGGGCTCGAGTAATTTTCATAGCCCCAGCTTGGCCACGGCAGCCTTGGTATTCAATACTCGACCAGATGTCCATCAGGACACCGTACATCCTTCCTCTGCTTCCGGATCTCTTGACTCAGGAAAACGGCTCCCTTTCCCATCCGAAACCTGAAACATTACACCTCACGGCGTGGATGCTCGCTGGTTCAATCCAGTCGAATGCTCATGCTCTCAGAGTGTCAAGCAAGTATTAGTACACAGCAGAAAAGACTCAACTCGAAAGACCTGCCTCGCCAAGTGGGCCAGATTTCAAACGTGGTGTAGCAGTGATGGTAGGGATGCTTACGTCGCAGGGATATCCCAGATACTTGATTACATTTTACATCTCTACGACACGGGCCTTGCAATAGCCTCGCTGCGAGTGCATGTAGCAGCAATTAGTGCGTTTCATCAGGGTCAGGATGGGTTCTCTCCAATTACAAAGAGGTTCCTGAAGGGGCTTATGAACCTCAACCCACCATGACGACCACCACCACCACCTTCTTGGAATTTAGACTTCGTTCTGGATTCTCTGACACGCCCCACCTTTCAACCCTTGGCTACGATACCATTGCAACTTCTAACCACAAAATTGCTTTTTCTGCTTGCCATGACATCAGCTCGCAGAGTGAGTGAAATAGCTGCATTCGTGTCATCACCTCCTTACACAGTGTTTACTAAAGAGTCGTTAACGTTGAGATCTCACTGTTGAGATGCACTGTTGCACACGCTCAATGTGAGAAGGGCATTAGCCTTTTATATCGAAAGAATGCGACACTTTAGGAAATCGGACCGTCTAATAGTGTCATTAGCGGAGTGAACCAAGGGACAACCCATCACTTCCCAACGGATTGCGAGATTAATAGTGTCGTGTATTACAACCTGCTACTCCATACGTAACAAACCTCTTGTGTGTGTTCCCAAGGCCCATTCTACGAGAGCAGTAGCCACAACTACAGCTTTTCTTAGAGGTGTTCCATTCCAAGACATTTGTCGAGCAGCAACATGGTCCTCTCATTCTACCTTTATCAGGCATTACGCTGTAGTAAACCAATTTGCTGCCGATTCCCTTGTGGCTACAGCAGTTCTTTTGCATGTCCAAAAACTTTTAATTCCGGAGCGCTCAAGTGTTCGAGTACTGCTCCGAAGTCACCTGGAGTGGAGAACCAAGGGACAACCCATCACTTCCCAACGGATTGCGAGATTAATAGTGTCGTGTATTACAACCTGCTACTCCATACGTAACAAACCTCTTGTGTGTGTTCCCAAGGCCCATTCTACGAGAGCAGTAGCCACAACTACAGCTTTTCTTAGAGGTGTTCCATTCCAAGACATTTGTCGAGCAGCAACATGGTCCTCTCATTCTACCTTTATCAGGCATTACGCTGTAGTAAACCAATTTGCTGCCGATTCCCTTGTGGCTACAGCAGTTCTTTTGCATGTCCAAAAACTTTTAATTCCGGAGCGCTCAAGTGTTCGAGTACTGCTCCGAAGTCACCTGGAGTGGAGCACCCACGGGGCCTCTCGAAGAAGTTACTCACCCTGTGAAGTAACTATTGTTCTTCGAGATGTGCTCCGTGGGTGCTCCACGACCCGCCCTTCCTCCCCGCTCCGGAATTTTTCATTTTCTCATTTCAGGGAGCGGCTGAGAGGAATTGAGCAAGCCGGACCACGCACAACACATCAAAGGCGCGAACGCCGCCTTGGGCAGCCACGCATGCGCGGTCCGGAGGACCACGGCTCTGATAGCTCTCCGATTCGTGGCGCCGGGACGGGACCCGACACCCGGAGTAGAGCACCCACGGGGCACATCTCGAAGAACAATCGTTACTTCACAGGGTGAGTAATTTCTTCATACCTCCCAGGGTTCAAGAACATTAACTTTCACAGAACTGCATTTGCACTTCCCTAAAGTTGACCATGCAAGGTCGGCAGAATGGTCTTGGTGACATGGCTTCGTTGTTTAGAAAATTGACATAATGCAGCTAAGTTCAATTTAAACTTTTAGGGTGCGTCTACACTGAACCATTATTTTGATATCACATTATTTCAAAATAACACTAGTTAGCGTCTGCACAGCTATTCCGTTATTTCTAAATAATGGATGGCTTATTCTGAAATCTGTATACTTCGTTCTACGAGGAATAACGCCTATTCCAAAATAGCTATTTCAATATAAGGCATGTGATGCTCCACTGCTGCTATTTTGAAATAGAGCGGCCCAAGTGAGGGGCTGCTATTCCTCCCCTGGGCTCTAAATTGAGAGAGAACATCTACATTACGGATGTCTGCCTCGGACTAATTTTGAGACTTCCCTGCAGTATAGACGTGCTATTTCGGAATAACTATTCTGGAATGGCTTATTTCGAAATAAGCATGCCATGTAAATGTACCCTAAGCATAGACCAGGCTTGAATTTCTTTATTTGTGTACGTTTTAATCCCATACTGATTCCTGTAGTCTTTGATATAGGTGAATAGCATATTCGCTCTAATTATTATAGTTCTTACCATGAATTTCGAAGATGCATCCCCCTTGTAACTGGATGCTGTGCAGTGGATTTCTGATTTTTTCAGTTTACTGGCATGCAGAGCATTGAGGCTCTGCTCCTTTTGCTGGGAGTGGGGCTATTGGACTTTAATATTCTCCCCATGGGTAAGTGGGTAGAGAGATGAGGAAAGGGAGAAGCACAGCAACATTTGATTCCACCACCACTACTCTGTAGTATCGTTTATTCACTTCGTGCTGTTGTTTCAGGGAATCTGATTTAGGCTTCAATTTTTGTAGCTGGGTCATATTTTGAAGGCTGTCTTGTCAACCATAAGACTGAAAGGCTATATGGTTTTTAAAATGATTGCTCTACGTTTTGGACCTCAGTAATACAGCATCTTAAAAAGGTCAATTTATCAGGTGATTTCATGTCCACATAATCATTTTTTACAAAAGGGCCTATACAAAGTTAAAATTGACATTAGCGTTTATTCATAGCCTACTTTATACTTAATCTGAAAGCTTACCTGCTTGGGAAATGAAAAACCATCCTCATTTGTTTCTTTAAAATGGATAAATGCATGAAAGATGGGAAAATCAAATATCTTCCCTGCTTTTGGTAGGGGGACTTCTAGTCGTTTTCTCATCCTTTCATAGAGATAGGGATATATGCATATGATTTCACACTTGATGGTGTGACTGGTCTGTACACAAAACACAGTGCCTGATCTGATGGCCTTGAAAATCAAATATATGAATTCTAAAATATGTGAGGAAGCTTTGAAGCAATGGGGAAATGAGTAGCATACTACTTTTTATTATCAGAAGTGTAGTGGCTTTTAGGAAGTACTTGAATGAAGACAAGGTGTTGATTCATTAAGGAAAATATTTATTTTCTAAGTGTATCCAGTTTTGAATTAAATAGGTATTGAAGTTTTGGATTTTACGGGTTTTTTCCAGAAAATAAATAAATAAATAAATAAATCGCTCTCGCTCTCGCTCTCGCTCTCGCTCGGTCTTTACTTTCTTTTTAGTTTTGATGTCATGCCACTGGCCATTTTTTTTCTGGAAGATTGGAAAATTTAAGGCTGATGCTTCAAATGTAAAAAAACAAGGAAAAATTGCCATTTTATGCATCCTTGTGAAATAAAAGGGCAAAAACCTACTACTTTTTCTTTTGCTGCTCACTTTTAATGATCACATACTGAGTTTTCTATGTTTGAGACTCAGAACAAAATATAACCTTAAGCATACTCAGCCATTTTCTGCATGATTTAAAATACCTATAACTTACATACTGGAAAAAAAGTATGTTCTCATGCAGATGCAGCACAAAAAAGAGAAGCCTAAGCATTTGTTGTAGAACAGATTTCCAGTTGCATTATTTTCCATAGTGTTATGGAGTTGCACAATTCCATAATGCTACAGTTTCACGTTTCCTTGTCTGTAGACTTGATTAGTCTAACACAGTGCTGTGGATAAACATGGTATGGCTTCTTCTTATCATCAGATCTGTTTTTTTCTTCACATGAAAAATATAAAGCCAAGAATATTTCATGCTAGTGTCTGTGTTAATGCAGTCTTGTGGTTGTAACATAAAAGAAAACAAAACTGGAAATGTAAAACAGAATTCCCTGTTACACATGTTGGATATTGGATTATTGCATTAGGTGAAGTTTTGCATCTTTATGTATGCTGTACACACTTGAAGTATGATAGCCCTTACTGAGCATGTCATTGTGGGATTTATTAAGCTGCTGTATTAGATTCAGTTCTTGGATATACCACATGCTTTTGAATTTACTGAATATGAGTAGCATCCAGGCATGGATGACTTCTGGCTTTTTAAGATCACTCCTGAGGTGCAGACTGCAATGCTGGTATCCATTTTCTTAATGTGAAGCCCTGCAACTGAGTTACCTTTGACAAGTGTGGACGTCTCAAGTTTCATGAGTAGCTCACATATCCATTCTCCAGAGCTCCATTCTTGTGGATAGTCTGGATTGTTTCACCCTTTGGGGATTTTGTGAAAATCAAAACCAGTAATCCAGACTTTGCAAAGGCACTTCTAAATCACACACGCTTTACTCTTGGACTATGTCTATACTCTGAGTTCTTTATTGTATATCTCTTTCTGTATATGCAAATTGGCAAAAGGCTCACAGTGTGGATGTAGGTGGGACCAGTTAAACTGTTCTTTTACTGGAACAACTGAACCTACATCAGGGCTTGTGGTAGCAGAGTTGTCAGTCAGAGATAACACTTCATTACACCTCCCTGACTGATATAGTTATGCTGACAAAAGTCTATATTATAGACCTGGCCATTGACAAAGCACAACATGCATGCAGATCTGTCAAAAAATAACAGAACGCCTACATGTGAGACCCTCCTCACTTTTCTCAATCCATTCTGAGAGATGGTTGGGTGTTAATCAACATTGTCCAATGAGTACAGAGTAGGGATGTGAAAGGTTAACTAGTTTACCAGTTAATATCACCCTTCGCAGGTGATGATATCAGTTCTCATGAACCATCGACCAGGGGTTGTTCTGGGTATCCAGAGCAGCCCCTGTTTGTGGCGGGCCGGGGACACAGGCACTGGAGTAGTCCCCTCCTTAATTAGTTAACTGGTTAAATGTGAAGTAAAGTTCATGTTTAACCGGTTAACTAGTTACATGGGATTTTATGTCCCTAGTCTAGAATTCGTCTGCAGCCCTTTCACTCCTGCCCAATCTTGTCTTCTAGTTTTGGTATGTTTCCCCATTGTTAGTGTTTCTCTTTAATAGCAGATTCTAATATTCTTCCTGTCGTTCCCCCTTATAATCTTGTAACTGTTGCAGACAACATATTTTTGGATCAGGATCCCTACAGTTATTACACAGTGATATTTCAGATTTAAATGGCTGAAATTTACTTATTTTTAAAATCCTATGATTGTGAAATTAACCAAAGTGGACTGTGAATTCGGGAGGACTGTACTGATAAGAATATTCCTGTGCTGGTAGTCCTTAATGTTTGCTTTGTTCAGAAAAGACACCACGACCTCCCTTTAAAACAAGGATGAGTGAAAGGTATCAGTAAGGAAATAAGTATAAAGAAAATACATAAGACTGGAATTCATAAGTTTGCATAAACAGATTCCCATTCCTTCTCAAAATATTCAGCTTTCATTGTTTGTCATTGTCCACTTCTCTCCTGAGTACACAGTAAGATGCTGTCTGTTCTTTTTCTTAGTTTTTCATTTTCCCCATATTTTATAATAACCTAGATATTTTTTCAGTGCAAGGATAGATAATTTACTTTGGAGGGAAGCAGTTTTACATCTGACTCTCTTTTCATGTATGCAACGTTATAGATGTGTTGATCCCAGGATATTATATGAGGTGAGTGAGGTAATATCTCTAATTGGACCAGCATCTGTTGGTGAGAGAGAGAAGCTCTCAAACTGCACAAAGCTCTTTTTCAGGGCTGGGAAATATACAAAAAATTTTATTTAACTGTAACACGTGATGGGGTGCGGTCATAGAATACGCCTCCAGGGGTGTCTCCTGGAGTGCTGTTGACACGACCACTGCCACTTGCCTTCCCATGCTCTGGGGCTTCTCATCACCTGGTCCTGAGATCCCTCCTCCCCCATCCCCCTGAGAAGCAGTTCAGACACTGAACCTCTTCAGTGTCCAAGGAGAGTACAATTTAGGGCCCAACTTCCTGGGATACCCCTCCCCAAATGGGATTTAACTCCAAAGAATTAGGTAAGCCGCTTTTAACAATGAAAAGGGGAATGTGCACACTGGTTGCTTCCCCCAGGTAATAATTATTTACACTGGGTTTGATAGAAAATAAAAGTACTTTTATTTTCTAGAAGCAGTAGGATTTCAGTGGTAATAAGTGAGAACAGGCAGAGCAAAGTAGATTACAAATCAAAAGAAAAACAAATTGTGGACCACAAGCTAAATATGAGTCAACAGTATTACACTGTTGCAGAAAAAGCAAACCTGATTCTGGGATGCATTAACAGGAGTGTGTGCAAGACACAAGAAGTCATTCTTTTGCTCTACTCTGTCCTGATTAGGCCTCAATTGGAGTATTGTGTCCAGTTCTGGGCACCACATTTCAAGAAAGATGTGGAGAAATTGGAGAAGGTCCAGAGAAGAGCAACAGAAATGATTAAAGGTCTAGAGAACCTGACCTGTGAAGGAAGACTGAAAGAATTGGGTTTGTTTAGTCTGGAAAGGAGAAGACTGAGAAGGGACATGATAGTGGTTTTCAGGTATATAAAAGGATGTCACAAGGAGGAGGGAGAAAATTGTTCATAGGACAAGAAGCAATGGACTTAAACTGCAGCAAGGGAGGTTTAGGTTGGACATTAGGAAAAGCTTCCTGTAAGGGTGGTTAAACGCTGGAATAAGTTACCTAGGGCGGTTTTGGAATCTCCATCTCTGGAGATATTTAAGAGCAGGTTAGCTAGACATCTATCAGGGATGGTCTAGAGATAGTACTAGGTCCTGCCAGGGGGCCAGGGGACTGGACTTGATGACCTCTCGAGGTCCCTTCCAGTTCTGTTCTATGATTGTACGAAAATCGCTTAGCTAATTTTACACTGAAACCTCAATACAAACTTTTTAAAACTCTGCCTAAAACTACTTTTCCAGCTGCCCTTCCAAATCAGGGCTGTCTCCCTACCCTCGGATCTTTGGCTCCTTTCTTCAGGTGCAGCCTGGCCAAAAGTCGTTTTAAAAAAAAAAAAGAAAACTCCTCTTTTTAAAGAATTCCATTATTGCATAAGGAGTCACCTGGCCACTCCCTACCAACCAGTGCTAAACCTAAAGGATAAAAGGCTATTTGCATACGACTGCAAAGACATTGATGCCTCCCATGATGACTTTCATTACACTTTTAAAAATAATAAAGTATTCCCTACTCTTTGCCTAATTTTACACACAAGAATGATACACACACAAAAATAAGATAAACAGAATGAGCAGATCATGACATGAACATTGACAGGATACATGGAATAATTTGCTCAAAGAACCTTTGAGTTATGTATATTCATGTCGGGGGGAGAGGTGTTCACTCACAAGGTGAAACAGATTTGTTTGGCTCTGTTTCACTTTGTATTTAGTTGTGACACTCTTGAGACATTTCCATTCCTGAAGAGCTTTGTGTAGTTTGAAAACTTTTCTTTCAGGAACAAAAGTTGTCTAGTTACAGATATTACCTCATCTACCTTTGCTCTTTTTAAAAAGAATTTAGACTGTTTCAAGGGTATAGGATAATGTTTTAGCAAACTTTAATATTGCTGTGTCATTTACCAGGCAAAGTACTTTTAGGAGAAGAAGAAGGCTTGGAGGATGACCCTGAAACACGTTCGGAAGTCAACACTGCAACTTTTGCAGGTAGATCTGCATTCTTTTTATTACAGAATGCAGTATGTAACTTCTGTATATCTGTAATCCGGTCAGTATGTCCATCATGAATAGTAAATAAGTGTCTGTCCTTAAAATATAATTCACTAAAAAGTGGGATAGCCCAAGGCTACATAGTTACATTTTACACATCTTTTACCAGTTTATCCTTTATTTAATAAGTGTGAAGACTGATAAAAGTCTAATTGAACTGTGATTATGATTGACTGTGACTTGTAGCTGAGGATTATAGGTGAAACAGCGTAAAAGTTAAATTTTTTTAAAGTGCTATCTGCTTGTTCTCCTTAGCAATCATAGTAACAGAAGCTGAAGAAATAATATTTTTAAAATAGAAGGTGCATACTATTTAGAAACATAACTTCCTCAGACTTGTACCCAAATTTGCATACTTCTTTTTACTGAATTTTAAAAGCCCCCCTCTGGCATTTTAACACACAGTTTAGAAAAGATGGTTCTTGGACTGCAGTGTTCAGATGGAAAAAAAAGACTAAATATGGGCGTTAGAGCTAGTTAGTTTTTATAGAAGAAACAATGAAAAGTTAAGAAGGTTGTACTATGTGTAATTGACTTACAGGCGTTTACCTCCCTAAGGATGTTAAAATGCGGTTAATTGACTAATCTACAGGCAATTCTGCATTCCTCCTTAGAAATGTACAAGAGGTCCCACTGGGGCTCTTGTACATTTCAAAGGAGGAATGCAGAACTCTACATACAGCCCGGGACCAGTGGCAAGTCCTGCTTACTCCGGGCTGCATGTGAATCCCCAGTGGGGGGGCTCTTGTGCATTTCAAAGCCATGGAGCCTGGAGTCAGCTGGCAACTCCCCAGCTGATCCTGGGCTCTGTGCGGCATTTCCCCAGAACCCGGAGTCAGCTGGGGACTCTCCAGCTGATCCCGGGTTCTGGGGAAATGCCGCACGAAGTCTGAGGTCAGCTGGGAGTCCCCAGCTGACTGCCTGGGCTCCAGGGCAGCTGTCCCTTTGAAACACCAGAAGCGGCATTTTAAAGGGGCAGCCGCTGCATAGCTGAAGTACCCCTCCCCTTCCCACCTATGAGAGAGAGGAAGCAGGGGGCAGGGGAATCGACTAGTCAAAAGACTATCCGATAAGCAAATGCTTTTTTTAACATCCCTATACCTCCCGAACAATATTTTATTGCTTCATTCCCTGCTCCCTTCTAAGTCTTTTCCCTTAATCCAATTTTACATCTGAGATGCAAACATGAACTTGATTATTTTGCTTTCCTTTGTTTTTAAATCTTTTCTTTAATGTATACTCACAACATTTTCTTGATTCATTAGTTTGGACCATTAATTTACTTTTTGTTTCAGCCTCTATGAAGAGTGAGATAAACAGTGAATTAGCTTCTTCATCAGGAGTATCAACAGCTGGATCAATAGTAAGTTCTGCAGCGGATCCTACAGGACATGACATCATCACTGAGCAGCCACGTTCACAACATACTTTGCAATCAGACTCTGTAGACCTGACCAGTTGTGATTTGGCCAGCACAGCTACTGAAGGAGAAGAAGATGACATGCTTAGTCGGAGCTCCAGCCAAATCAGCACTGTCCAGTCAGACCCCATTATGGACTTGAATGATGGCACGCAGGCATCTTCACCTGTTAGTGATAGCTCTCAGACTACCACAGAAGGTCCAGATTCAGCTGTGACCCCTTCGGACAGTTCTGAAATTGTAAGTGTGCAACGGGCAGAGTGGGTATCCCAGTCTTCTACTGAGGGGCCCGACATATCTCAGAGCTCTTCCATGGAGGGTCCAGACTTGGACACATCTACTTGTTCATCTTCTACTTTTCCGTCCTCTGCTAGTAACACCGAAAAGGTCAGCAGCTCATAGCTTTATCTGAGAGCTTGACCTCATTTTAACACTTTCACTGCTGCTTTAAAAAATTAATTACTGAACATAAAAGTTGATCAAAACAAGACTTTTTAACTTGACATGTATGTATTAAAGAGACTATAAAATTACTCTCCTCACTGAAAGAATGAAAATATTAAGGGGTTTTCATGATAAATTTTCTAAATGTATGCTTCTGTTTTATTAGCATATTAGCCCTTAAAACTAATCAAATTGTTGCTTCAGTTTGAAACAGCTGGTGAAAGTGTTAAAGGGTGAACCCTCCATTTGGAATAATAAATACTTCTCAAGTCTGAGTGTGTTTCAACGTCATACTTTCATATTGCTTATTGCCTGTGCTTTTTCACTTGAGAATTCAATTTTACTACTACTTATTCCACACTTATAGAATTTCTGTTATATCATTTGAGCATTGCATAACTTCATATATGCTCCATTGATGCTTTTATGCTTGCTTCAAGCATTTATTCAGTAATGAACTCTACAGATATTTTAGCATGCCCATCTCTCTTTGGTCAAGATGTCATGTGGTTGAAAGAGCAATTCAACAGACACTAATGCTTTTTTTGTTTGGAGGATTTTTTTTAAATGGCTTTTTTTAGTGGGTTGGGCAAAGGACACAAATATACATATGTAGCTTGCCAAGCCTCAATTCCGGCTTCTTAATGTATTGTTACTGCTTGGCCTAAAAGCACTTCAGTGAGGTTATTGTAGATGAGTTGGGAAGAATAAATGACCAGTGGAGTTATTTTTAAAACTTGTTACTTTACAAGTGTGACACGCAGGTACTGTTGCCCAAAAGAGGGGTCAGATTGGGCAGGAGAGGAGTAATAGTAGTTTCTCAAACTCTGACTAGCACCTAAGTGCTCATGAAGCAAAAATGAACTGGTGTTGGTGCAAATCTTCATAATAGGATTGACCTTCTTTCTTGCACACTCTAAATAGAGAAATAATTAACACTTATGTTGTAGTGGCCAGCATCAGAATGAACACTTTATTAAGGAGAATTGGAGTGTTCACACTTCCCTTAAAGCTGTTGCTTCAGGCTGCCTGAATATTTGGGCTGATGTCACTGGATTGATTTACAATTGGTTCAGATTTTGAATGTTATATTTGCAATCATAAAGGTTGGAGTTTTAAGCTTTTTTTAAATTCATAGATCTTAAGACCAAAAAGGACCACAAGGATCCACAGCCTGATCTTCTGTATCACATAGGCCATAGATTCAAGCCCCTTAATTTCTGTATCCAGACTGTAATTTCTCTTTGAGCTGTAACATCTCTTTTAGAAAGATAATCAGTCTTGATTTGTGACTTCAAGCAATGACAAATACAAGGTACCCGTAAGTAATTAAAATTAAGTTTAAATCCTAAAACCCAAGTTTCTACCTTCAGGGAAAAGTACAGTTTGGTAAGATGCCAAGCCCGGAATAATCAAACTTGTCCCACTTGACAGATGCAGATAAGCCAAATAGAGTGTCCTTTATTGGTAGCTTTTAACTTTTAAATATCTCTTTTCCCCCCTTCCTTTCAATGTTTAGTTTGCTTTCTTAGCGCATAGCCATTGCTCCGATGTACTGAGATTATGGAGTTTGGAAATGAACAGTTTAAGAAGTGTCCAAAATAATACAGAATTATTTTCAACATGAGCTGCGATCCAGAATTGTCAAGGACTTTACTATTTTCTTGGTACTTGCTTTGGAAATCCAGTAAATAAATCCTCAGTGAGGTTTAGGGATGCTTAATGCGCATACAAAGTGCCTCTGAAATGCACATAGTAGTGTAATTTGATAACTATCTAAACAGAGAACTTGGAAATACTCAGAATTTACCTGGTATTTAGCAAACAGGCTAAGAATTAACTAACTTAGTGGCAATCCATAAATACTTGGTAAATAGCTGATGTCTGCATTAAAATGCCTGAACTACAAATCATAACTAAGGAGCTCAAATTTAAATCCAGTGCAAATGACTTTTGGAAATTGAGAAGAGAAGAGCTTATAGTTGCAGATCACATTTCAGTTTTTGAAAATGGTCATTATTACAATTACAAAACTTTATTAAAATTGCTACATAAAAATTCCAGCTCTTTTCATGCAAACAAATGGCATATTTAGATCTTTAAATATATGTAAATGTAGACTGGTTGCAATACGAAAAGTGACTAAATGTGCTAATTGATTCACATATCAGATTCTTGTGTAGTTGGTGGGTAAAACCAAGTTTCTACTAATCTTTTGATCTTGATAGTCCTGCAGACACAATATGAGAGGCTGAGTCCGGCTGTCTTTCTTCCTTGTGTGGCATTAACAATGTCAAAATTATTCTCCAGCTTTCCGTTGCATCCAAGAACAGATGCCTATTTTCAAATTCTGGGTGCTTATATGGTTCCATCACTGTAATATATTTGTTTGTATTTATCCTCATAATGTCCTTTTGAGGTAGGGCAATGCTATTATCTCCTTTCTACAGATGGGGAACTGAAGTAGAGAGACTAAGTAACCTGTCGTAGGTCATACAGGAAGTCTGTGGCAGAGAAGGGAATTGAACTATGGTCTCCTGAGTTATAGGCAAATAACTACTAGCCTTCGCTCCCCTCCTGTCCCCCAGGTCTGCAACAAGTGTAACTGAGGTTAGAATTTGGCCTGCTGAATCCATTTGTTGCGGAAATCATGTTTAGTTACCATGGAATCTACAGTGCCAATACAATTTATTGTAAAATCAATGTGTAAAACACAAATACGTTTTGAAAACCAGTGTTTGAAAGTGTAGTTATCTGCCAGATACGGAGTCCAGGGTTTAGATCTTCTTTGCAACAGCTAATCAAAACACAGTTAACTAAAACTGTGCTTCCTACATTGTCATAAGCTTTCCTCCTTGAAGTGTGTTACAATCAACTTGGGTTTTGGCAGGTAAGCAAGAGAGAAACTGCTTCATAAATACTGTTATAAAAATATTTATTTGAAAAATACACAGAGACATAATGAATTGGCTTTTAAAATATTTGAGTCTTTAATGGAAAATGTGATACCATGGAAATAATAAAGCAGAGTATAATGTATAAATCTTGAATCTTTATAGAATTAGACAAATAAGGAGAGAAGTTAAACTAAACATATAATAGGATTTTGAGATTCAAATAAGTGATGGAGTGAAAATTCTGAAAGATGTCACATCCTATACACTTACGTGAGCAGAGCTTGTTGTTTGTGGGGTTTTTTTTTTTTGGTGTTAAATTTGTAATCTTTGGACAGTGGGCTTTTTTGTCTTTTGTCTTTGTTTATGGAGCTTCCTGCCGTGTGAAATCTAAGAAATCTATCTTTTTCTTGATGCTTTTTTATTTTGTTAGACATTTTAAATGCTTTCCGACTTACATGTTGTTTTAAATTTATAGGCTGCTTTTTATTTGTGTTGTATAGAGTTTTGATGTCATAAGAACCCTGAAGGGTGTTTCTAGCTATTTTGTTCTTGGAATGGGAGGTGAGGTGTTGCTTTGTCCTTCTGCATGCTTATTTAATTTTTGTAAGTCTGGGATTTGTTTTATGTGGAAGAGGGCCTTTTAATATTTTAAAGATAAATTTTAAATGACAAAGATTTGTTCCATAATTTTATGATTTGATCTTAGACTTTATAAATTAAAGACAAGAGATGTCCACAGTTATTTTCTTGCCAGTGCATGATAGCAATGTTACAGCTGACTCAAATCAGTATATTGTTTGTGTATTTATTTGTATATTATAGTCTATGCAGCTAAAATTTCTTGACAGCTTAATTGGTATCTACTTTTCACTTTCATGATGTACATTTTACAGCCAGGATATTAACAGTTACCTTCTGATAGTGTAACTGAAATGTTTTGCTACATTTTGGTGATGATCTCAACATAAATGAAAGACGGTCCATAACATTAGTATCAGTGGGCTTTTTTTTAAGTTCCTTTCTATTGAACTCTGAGTTAGAATGAAAGGATAAAATGAGAATATTTGAAGAGCTCCAGCCCTGTGTTTTATGGTGCCCAGCAGAATCACTACTAAAATTCCACTACCCAATTGGAAGTTGTTGGAAAATTTGTCAACTGGGCCCTAAAAGAGGATGATGGAGTTTGATAACAGCTAGGATGGATGTTGCCTCTCAACAAAGAGGCCCAAACCGTAAAATAGAGAGAGGCTCCATGTAAGGTGTCATGTAAAACAAGGATGCCATTTCAGGAGGGAAGGGCGGGGCAGCAGTCATGTGCTGTAGGATGTGGCTAGCTTTTCATCCCGTTCTCTGGATGCTAAGGGAATGAGGGGAAAGTACTTGCATTTGATGCATACCTCTTACACCTGACTGGTAAGCTCCCTTCACCAGCTAGATGTGAGAGGCATGTATGGAATGCAAGCGCTTTCTCCTTAGCATCCGGGGAATAGGATGAAAGGTAAGTCGTGTCCCAGAGTGCATGGCTGCTGGCCTCCCCACCGTTCCAAAATGACGCCCTTGCATGTAAGCCAGGCCTGAGAGCTGTTGAGATCACACTTGTACCTTGGAAAATGAGGACTAGGTATGGGGCAACTCAGAGCTGCACGCTAATGCTAACATGCATCAGACTGACTTTGGTTTGGAAGGAGTTCTGAATTACTAACACTGCATGTTTGAGTGCAAAAATCCAATGCACTAAGTTAATCTAGTCTAAAAGTCTACTCCTTGTATATCTTAGGTTCTCGAAGGTACTGAAAGCCTGTATTCTGGAATGCAGATTGGACAGCTGCAAGATGAGGAAGATGAATCTGCAAATGTTCTCCATGATGAATCCTCAGATCCTTTCAAAAATTCTTCCCTTGGTATGTTAAGTAGAAAAAATCAACTACAAAAATAGTACAGTTGAACCTCTCTAGTCCGGTGCCCTCGGGACCTGACTGGTTCTGAACGAGAGAATTTTCCAGACCATGGAAGGTCAATATTGTCTAGCAGCATTACCAACACTTCCACTGCTTACTGGGCTGTTAGAGGACGTTTAGGAGTAAATTAGAGCTAAATAACAGCACAGAACACGGAGAACTAGGACTGGTGAATATAAACAAAGTTTATGAAACTGCGGGAAACTTGGTCACACCCATGGAAAGTGGACATCCGGCTAACTAAAATCACACCAGACTATGAATGTTTCTGGTCTAGAGAGGGTGAACTTGTAGTTTCTTTCATCTTATTTCTAGCAAAATTCATTTACTTATTTTATGTCCACCATAAACAAATGTAGCTGTTCTGATCAAAGTAGAAAATTCATTTTTCCTCTTTTTGTTTCTTTAACAAATAATTTTTCTTGTTAGTTCTACGCTACTTTAACTGTTTGGTAATAAACTTCAGTTAAGTGTGTGATCTTTGTTAATTTACATTTTAAATAGTGTTCTATTCATTACTTTTTTCTGAAGCTCTTCAGCAACCCCACTTACTGAAAAACATGGGCCATAGCAGGCAGCCTTCTGACAGCAGTGTAGATAGATTCATGGCAAAAGAAGAAGCAGTAGAATCTGGAGATCATGAAAATAAGGTAAGACGCATTCTCCCACTCAAAATGGGTTTTTAAGTTAGATGTTTGTTAAATTTTCCAAACAAATGACCTGAAACAAGACTGATGAAATTCAGTATTATAAGCAAATGCTTTGATATGTGCAAAAGTAGGTATATTTAACAGTATGTGTCCTAACTTTAAAAAAGTACATTCCGTTCATAAACATTAACTTGCAATTAAATGTCCTAGATCACATAAATACACTATCTTGACAACTTGCATATACAAAAGATATTATACTATCAAGCAGACCTAAATAGACAAGTAATGCAATTAAGGGTGTCAGAACTGAAGAGAGAAAAAGAACAGCTCTCCCTTGTTGGGTGAATGAAGATTAGTGAAGGGGCACATAATGAATTTATGTCAAATATCATTGAGCTGACCATCACCTGAAATGAACAAATACAACAAAGCTCCAGTTGAATGCAATGAGTTTTATATAAAAAATAATCCCCATCACTGAGAAGATGTTGCCAGAATCTCTGCCATACAGTTTATTAGAGCAAATGAGACAAATTTGGCAACTTCTAGAAGGAAATTACTCCTGAGTTGGGTTCCATATTATGTTTCTAGAGAGCATAACTTCATAGCTGAAGGAGCCTTATGAACAGTCTTTTGTCAAACAAGTTTAGATGATGATCATGATGATCTACAAAACCTGTCATAGCCTCAATCATAAAATTAAAACTATTCTAATGCTGGTGGTAGCATTCTCACAGAAGATGTATTTAATGTGCCTCTGATTTATTACAAGGCATCTTAGTCTTTTGTGATTTAAAAAAAATTATCTTGAATTAAAAAATCAGAATTTGTTGTTTTTTTCACATATCAATTAAACTGCTGAACTTGAGTTTCCGTATCCACAATATATATAGGTATCAGATGAACGCAATTTTTTTTATATATTCATTATTTTTCAGATGACCGCCCTTGCCCCAATCATTGTCCAGATTGTTTTTGGTTCTGAACTGGCCCAGGTTATAATTAAATAGGATAATCAGGGTTCCTTGTCTCTGACTTCAATTTTTTTAATAAAAAATGAAGAAACACAAATTCTGTATTTTTTCCATAGCAAAAAGATTTCTAGGATCCTTGTTTATTACTTAGTATTTCTAGAGTATCTTCCCTTTTTATGATTTGTTTAAATACAAAGTTAACAGCATATATAAGATGTGTGATTTGCTTTTTGGAACAGCCTTCCAGAATAAAAGGAGATATAGGTCACTACACAGATGGAAATTCTGCTCCTCTGGTTCACTGTGTTCGTCTCCTATCTGCTTCTTTTCTGCTTACTGGGGAGAAAGGTGGTAAGTTGCTGTCAAAAACAGTTGTGCTTATTGCCCATATCAGTATACAAAACAAAGTGTAATCACTTTCTCGTGTTTGACAGTTCTTCATTGACAGAGCTTATTGTTTTTTGTGGGTTTTTTTATGACAATAGCTTGTAAAGAGCTTTAATAGGATTTGTATTGTGTTGTAATGGCTGAACCTAGTTTTGACCTGCTCATTCTTGATATTATTGTATTTCTAGAAGACGTACCTGGCATGCCTTGGTCCAGACCGAGGCTGCAGACACCCATTGGGGAGTTTGGGGGGGGTGAGCCTGGCCTGGGTCCAGGGTTGGGGCTGTGCAGACCTCCCCTCTGGTGCTCCCCATGCCTGGTCTGGGGGGCAAAGGAGTTTCCAGTGGGGTTCTGTGGGGGAAGGGGGACCGGGGCTCCACTGCCCAGCCTTGGTGGTATTCCTGGGGGAAGGGGCATGGTGGTGGAACCAGTGGGGTTTCCCTCCCTCCAACCACTCCAGCGCTGGGACTGAGGGCTGGTGGTGTAGGAGGCCATTTACCTGGGTCAGTGGCAGGCAAGATCATGAGCCCTGTCTCTATCTGGCCACTCCCTTGGTGGTGCGGTTGTCTCCAGTGGTCATTGCAGGATCACCGCTCTCTGTGCTTGCTCCCCCCCATCCTGTCCCTTTTCTCTCTGCCTACTTCCTTTCCATGTTATGGAAAACAATCCCATTCCCAGCTCTACCTGTTTTCTTGGCTCAACCAAACCCTGACCTTGCTTTAAGTTAGGATAAGGGCAAACTGCATATCAAATTTGGTACTCTTACTGCAGAGTAGGTCTTTGTAGTAGGATACAGGTAGTTAAGTCGTTGAGACAGTGTCCTTCACTTCAGCTACACCAGACTAACAAGGCTACATTTCTATTAGTTGTCTAATTGAAATCCATGTAGAGCTGGCAATTCACATGATAAAGCCAGCAGCCCCTACTTTTTACCAGTGACTTTCATTCATATTAAGGTTTTGTGTAGCATAGTTAAGTCTGAGATACAAGTAACAAAAACTAGAAACAAGGAGGAGGAAACTTGTAAAGACTACTGCTGCGTAAGTGGAGGAAATGGCTTTTTCTGTAATGTACTAGAATCATCAGCAGTAGTGGAACTGCCAGCTCAGTAACAGGAAGGAGAGAAGGACTACATACAAGATCAGAGCCACTAGCCAGGCAATGTGTCCGTAGGAGCAAATGGTTAAGAGACTGGAGTTTGGGTAGTATATCTGGGATAGAAGGGAACTGAGAAGCAAGTTCAGGGGCCTGCCAGTGCACTGGATAAGTAGCCCCCCCCCCCAAACTCTTCCTCCCTTCCCCGTCAGTGCCAATGGGAGGGAGGGAGAGAGTAAAAGGCCCCTGGTGGCGGGGGGAAGGGAGGGGAGAAATGTCCGCTGGGGGCTAGAAGGGATGGGGAGGTGCAGAGGAGGAGTGAGGGGAAAGAGAGGGAAACATGGTCCCAGGTGGGTTGGGGTGGACCTGGGAGAGGAAAACAGGCCCCGGGTAGGCAGAAGGTCTGGAGGGGGGACAGAACATACGCCTGGCCCCCAGCCTTCTGCACCTCCTCCCCATCCCCAAGGTCCTGCCCTGACCCCCCCCTCCCCGCCCCCACCACACACACATGCAGTGTGTCAATTCCCTCACCTGAAGGACCTGGACAACATTTAGTAAGTGTTCTAGAAGTTCATATTTTTAATTTCAAATACAAGGGATAATACATGCACACAAATGAAATATACACATTCAGCAGATTACAACTTTTCAAGTGATACTTTACAAGAATTGTTTGGCATAAAGCTTTTCCATTTATGCACATTCATAAGCATATTTCCATAATGCATATTGATATGTCCATGACACAACTATAGTACTTTCAGCTGTATTCTTATTTCTTATAAGCTTAGTGGGGAGTCTGGAAGGGGATGTCTGCAAGGAAAACATAGGCTGTTCTAAGTGGTAGTGTTGGTGTTAATGGGTCTTTCATTTCAAGATATCAAAGCAGTTTACAAATAATCAATTTACGTATCTGTGAAATTAGTGGACTTCCCTCAAATAGTGGTGTGAGAATGACGTGTTTCACCTTGTTACACAGGGTACGTCTACACTTGCTCCCTAGTTCAAACCAGGGATGCAAATGTAGCTGACCGAAATTGCTAATGAAGCAGGGATTTAATATCCCGCGCTTAATTAGCATAATCACTCCCACACGCTATTCAGCTCGCCAGCTGGTTCGAACCAGGAAGTGTCCTCCAGGACACGTTAGTTCGAATCAAACCCCTTGGGTTCAAACTAACGTTACTCCTCAAAAAATGAGGATTTCCATAGCTTTGCACTTAAAACACAAAACCCAGACCATACTCCTATGCTCTGCCTGGGATATGGTTCATGAGGGATGTTATTTTTATTTTGTTCTTGAGCACCCTAAAGGGCTCTCAGAAATAAGATCTACTGCCTGTCCTGAAACGATTATAATCTAATTGTGGCTATAAACATTACATTACTTATCCCATTCTGCTGTCAAAACCTAAACCAATATCCCTTACGTTATATGAACAGTGTTTTTAGAGATGCCTTCTTTCAGATGAGATGTAACATACAATTCCTGATCATTTGTGGATAGTAAAAGCTCTGAAGCACTTCTGCCAAGGATAGGAGTGTTTCTCAATCTCACTGTTCCAGTCACATTCCAATTTGGGTAAATAGTTTCATCCCAGTGAAAATGTTCCTTACAATTTCAATTGGATGTTGCTGTATAAATTTTGAGGTCTTTTTTACCTAATTCTTGAGCTACTGTAATCTTGGGGTGGCAAGCATTTTTTCATTTTTGTCTTGAGTAAAAAAAAAAAAAAATCTTACGGATTTCTTAATTTCTGGTTCAAATTAACAGTTTAGATAATCTAGAATACTATATTTTGGAATTGGATATTTTCAAAAACACTTTGTGGCACAGGAGGCCCATCCCCTCCTTTTACATGGGTTTTTGTCTGTTTCTCCAAGTGGGGATAGCTGTAGTTTTAAAATTTAGATTGTCACACTAGGACAGGAAAGAATACATTAAATAATACATTAAATAATAAACTATGGAATATTATGCACTGCTAATGCAGCAATCACATTCTCTCGAGCCATTATTTAGCAACTAGACTTTTTTAGGAAGAAAACACTATATAAATTATTCTAATAACTAGATGCAATTACAGGGTCTGCATTGATTCCTTGTGAATAGTATCTGCCTAGGTTAAGTTGTAATAAGACTCTGTTTGCTCTTTACTACCTTTTTTTTTTTGCGCAGCTTTAGTTCCTGATCGGGATGTGAGGGTCAGTGTAAAAGCATTGGCAGTAAGTTGTGTTGGAGCAGCTGTTGCCCTTCATCCTGAATCTTTCTTCAGCAAACTGTATAAGGCACCTCTTGAAACCATGGGAGAAGAGTATGGTATGTTGAGGTTTTTATTATAGCTCCCTTCTCTTTTGTGAAACATTAACTTGTTGATTTTTTGAATACATAATGGAAACCGTGTCTAAACCATTTGAGTTCTTTAATGTACACAGAACTCAGTGCATGTATACTAACCATGTCACATCAATGGTGTACACTAATGCTGTCTCAAACTATTTCAGTTACAGTGCCCACATTTTCTCTCTTGCCGATGAAAAGCCTTAGAAACAAGTATTTGCAGAAGCAACGGTGCACTGTGGGAAAAATTAAAACCAGTTAAAAACCCTTCAATGTTTTTAGAACATTCAACATTCACACAGACATACCAAATGGTTTACAGATCAGCAGTGAAAGGGCCTAATAATTTAACAGATTACTATTAGCATATTTAAAACGGGTTAAATTAACTGGTTCAATTTCAGCATAGCTGCAAACAAAGCAGAAATGATTAGGTAGTCCTCCTGCTACTGTTCCATAATGCACTGGTGCTACTGGAACCATTGCTTCATTATGAATTTAGTCCATGCTTGGGTGATAAAATGAAAACATTACTATTTTCTATTTGTTTTTGATGAAGCTTTTTGCATCATTTGTTATAGCTGATTTATTACTGCAGTCTATCTTAAATTTTTATAAGCAGTGAAATATCAGTAGAAGGCTTGTTAAAGCATAGAACGTATTTTTAAAATAAAGTAGTCGTAACTTCTTTTCTCAGAAGAGCAGTATGTATCAGATGTTTTGAACTATATTGATCATGGAGATCCCCAGATTAGAGGAGCAACTGCCATTCTCTGTGGGACCATTGTCTACTCCATTCTCAATAAATCACGTTTTGATGTGGAAAACTGGCTAGCAAACGTCAGAAGTTCAACAGGTAACAGTTGAGTAATTTTGGGGGATTGTTTTGGTGCATGCAGTGAAAACTTTGTCCTTATTTTTTCATTATTATTTCTTTCAGGAAATCTCTTTTCTCCAGTAGACTGTATACCTCTCTTACAGAAAACTCTGAAAGATGAATCCTCAGTTACATGCAAACTAGCTTGTGCAGCAGTGAGGGTAAGCAAAATTTCTATTACTTTTTATTTAGATTACCATAGAATGCTTGTCATGGACCAGGGCTCTATCATGCTAAGTGCTATAAAACACAACAAAAAATGGTCTTGTAGCAGCTTGTGATTCATTCACAGCACTTCAAACTGGGCAGTCCAGAAATTAGCTTTTCAGCTTTGGAATGTGTTCTGCTGGTTGGTGTCTTGCCTAAAGTTACCTGCTTCCTTCTCCGCTTGTCAGGCTTCTGTCCCTCCTATTCTGTGGTCTGGGTACTTACCCTTGGTCCGGTACTGTCCTCCTGGGGTACCCATGCCTGATTTCCTCCCCTGCTGGTGAAGCCACTTACCCTTTAACCCACTTTGCCTCAGTGACCTACTGCCATTTATCATCTAGCCCATTCTCTCAAGGACAAACTGCAGTCTGTATTGGCCACTTAATACCTTTCTCCCTATTGCTGGGCCTCAGCCTGGGGATTACTCAAGCCTTTCCCTAGCATTGGTCTGTCCCCTGCTGGCAGGCAGCTAGATCTCTCTCCCTACAGAGCTGGAATGGGAGTGAGTTCTTTCAGTCTAGCAGCGCTTTTATGCAGCTTAGCCAGGGTTTGATTAGCTGCCAGATACCTCCTTCTAATTGGCTCTCATGACAGCCCTCTCCCTGGGCTGTTTTTAAATCCTTATAAACCAGAACTAGGCAACTTCCCCATTACAGATTCCAGCCCCAGTGAGTATATAGTTGAAATATGAGGCAAGGTAACACATGACTACAGATAGATGGAAGAATACAAGAAATGAGATTTTAATTTGCATGATAGGCAGTAATTATTCCCTACTGAATTTTGAGTTCTCTTACAGAAATTTGGACCCTTCAGATTTCCCTAGCAGTTGACTATTCTCAGTGCAGCATCTCTGCAGAGATGCTCTTGAGGAGGAGTGGGCAAAGAGCCCTCCGTGGGCTGGTTCTGGTCCGCCAAGTCAGTGGATCAGGGCCGTGGCTGCCCTGCCACTCTCCCACCCCCAGGCCAATCAGGGTGGGGGAGGCGCAAGAAGTCTCTGGCTCTGCTCCTTCCGGGATGGCCTTGGGCCCCTTGAAAAATTTCTGAAGTGGCCCCCTTTTTGAAATTATTATCCACCCCTGCACTAAAGTTTCTCTGTTTTGGCCCCCACAAAAAGTTTAGATATGTAAGCATGAATTTGGTGCAAGAAGAGATGCTCTCTAAAACAATAAAAGATTAAAAACTTTTCTACCTCTGTCTTTTTAGCATTGTATCATGAGCTTATGCAGTAGCAGTTACAGTGAACTAGGTTTACAGTTAATCATTGACCTCCTTACTCTGAAGAATAGTTCTTATTGGCTTGTAAGGACAGAGCTTCTGGAAACTCTTGCTGAGATAGATTTCCGGTAAGTGTGCATTTTTCAGTAGGTTGCATTGTAGCTGTGCATACAGTACCTTGTATGGGAACCTAGCTTTTGACTTGAAGTTAGAATAGTTTTGACATATTAATGAACTTCTTATGCAATAAATCAAGTCTGACTAGAAAGCGGCCATTAACATCAGTGTTCACAAGATTGGACACATTAGTATCTTCTGTGTGTTCTTTTAATCTCCTTAAATCTGGCTTCTAAGAAACTATAAACAGATAAATATGGTCTGGTATGCGAAATAACTGAACTTTTGTGAAATCCTTTGGAGGCCCAGATGCAGCACATATTTTAAGTTCCTTCTGCTACTTTTTGTCAGCTGTTTTCAACTTCATTTGTTGCACAAAACTGTTTGGATAGGTAATACTGCAGTGTTTGCCTTTGCTTTTACATTCCCTCACACTCCAAAGGCTTTTTTAAGGTAATCTTATTTAAAAAAAAAAAATCACCAGCCAGATGCTAGTTCAGTATGTTAGAAGCTTTAAATTGTTTCAATTTATTGTCTTTTGTAACAGATTTACTAAGAGGTGCTAATTCTGACCTTTTTTACCTAAATAATTAATAAAAGTAAATTTTAATTCTGCTATGAACAATTACACTGTACAACACTTAAAAAAAATCTTGTTACTTTAATGATGTTTAGTAACATGATTTGTCTTTGTCCATTTTACCCATTAAGGTTAGTCAGGTTTTTGGAAGGAAAAGCAGACAACTTACACAGAGGAGTTCATCATTATACTGGGGTAAGAAGCTTATCTTTGTGTGCACTATCAAAGCATTATGATTGAGAATTTGAAACATTGATTCAGTAAAACAGTTGAAATTATATGCTTAACTTTAATCAGTTGTTCAAGAGCTGCTGAAGCCAATGTGCTTTACATATGTCCGTGGTAGAATCATGGCCTAATTCTTAGTACTGGGTGTCAAATTGCTTTTCTACTGAAATAGAGATCTTTATAATATGATTTTTAAAATGTATAATGTTTAGATTATTTCATATGTAAATAAATTATTCAGCAATGTGGAAGTAGCACTGTCCTTTATATACTTTTCCATGTTAACACTACAAAATACATCTTTAATAATCTGTACAGTTGATAGTAACGAAAATGTGCTATGATAGTTAATCTTTGCTTACACTAATCTTATTCTCATAGCTGTTAAAACTTCAGGACAGAGTGCTTAACAGTGTTGTAATCTACCTTCTTGGTGATGAAGACCCCAGAGTGAGACATATAGCTGCAGCTGCTTTGATGAGGTATGAGCTAAAACATAGGATTTCCATAATATGCTAGCCTAAACTCCATGTATCTGCAACTAAATAAGACTTAGCATTCCACATTTTAATTCTTGTGTTTATTTTATACACATGCACACACTATTTGTAATGGAAGGAAAACATTTGTTCAGAATTGCATATTATTTTGAATCATCATGCTGTTTTCCATTTTTTCAAAGGATCGTATAAACATTTAATTTTTCACAATACCCCTTGAGCTGTTACTCCTGTAGGAATTCTGTGTAGGATTGCCAGGTGTCCAGTATTGACCCGGACAGTCCGGTATTTTTGCCGCCTCGCTGGTTAAAAAAAAAAATTGAGAAAATACCGGACATGTCAAATGTCTGGTATTTTTCTGATCCTTCCCCTCCTCCTCTTCCCCCTCCCCCTCCCCCCAAGCCAGGAAGCAAAAATACCAGACACCTGGCAACTCTCTCAGCAACAGGGTCTGCCCTTTTTTTTTTTTTAATTTTTTTTTTTGCTTAACAACTCGCCAGGTCTTTTTTTTTTTTCTTTTTTGCTCAACAACTTTGGTCTCCCCTTTTTTTTTCCTCAGAATGTTTTTCCCAGTGGTTTTTTTGGGGGGGGGCGGGGGGCAGGGAGCAGTATTTTTGGTTAAATCATCTGGCAACCATAATTCTGTGCTAAAAAATGCTGCACACAATATTTTAACATTCTACATATTTTATATGTTAAAATAACACTATATATTCATACCAGTTTCAGTTATTTTGATAACTTATTTTTGATAATAGTGTGTGAGTGAGTTTCCCCAGGAGTACAGATTTAAAGAAGCCCCTACAACAGCTCAGTTCCTGTCTTTCTTTCTTGACCCATCCAGAATCCAGCTATGGGGCCAAATTCCTGCACCTCCTCTTCCCCCAGGGCTCAACTGCAAAGTGCCTGCACAGTCTAAATACTGGTACCTCTTTCTCCTCCAGAACCCAGCCATGGGGAATTGCCCAGCCCAGATACCCATACCTGATCCTACTCAGAATTCAACTGCAGGGCCCCATCTCAGCCCAGACTTGCACCTCCTCCCTAACCAGAGCCCCGACTGTGAGGCCCCATCTCCAGCCCAGAAACTCACACCCCATTCTCTGCAGAACTCGGGGACCCATAAAGAGAAATAAAGACTGATGCTGGGTCCCAGACTTTTATGCAGTTGCCTGCATGTTGCCTTCCTTCTTGAAGGCATTCTGGATCGGCAACTTCCAGAACCTTCCAGTTCCCTCCCCCTGTCCCCAGGAGTTGCTGTCTCTTTGCAGGCTGGGGAACTGGGCTCTGCCAAGTTCAATGTTCTCTAGAGGCTGCAAACAGCTTTGCAGCCCATTTCTGTGAGGGCGGGGGGAAGGGAATTTTGCACGGGACATTAACTCTGTACAAATTGTGCATTGTGTAGTGGTGCAGAATTATTCCAGGAATGAGGTGTATTATCTCCATTACATGGATGAGGTAATTGAGACACCAAGAAGTTTGTGATTTATTCAGTAATATGGGGGGAGTTGGTGGTTAAGGTGTGACAGAAATCAGAAACTATACCTATTTTCAGTTTTATGAAAGGGATCGTACCTGCCAATCCTGTAGCAGATATGGCTCCTATAGTCAAGAATGGCATTTGGGAAGGAAGAAGTTTCCCCCATTTAAGACACAGGCAGAAAAAAAGTGTTTAGTGACACTAGCTTGTGTGTTATGCCACCAAATTACATATATCATGTCCACATCTGATTTGGTGGCATAGCACATAAGCTAGTGTCACTTAACACTGTTTTTGTACCTTGGTCTTAAATGGTGGGAAAGTTGCCAGAATAGTCAGTGGCAATGGAGAGGGCAGGGATTGGGGAAAGGATTGTTGTCAGAAGTTGAAGTGGTATTATATAACCCTGCAAAAGATTGATCCTCAAAATGCAGGATGAACAGTCAGGAAGTTTTGGTCAATGGGTTGGTTATCCTATTGACCAAAACTATATTTTCCAGTCCACCTACATTAACAAAGATTAACTGTTACCTCATATAATTTACACAAGAAATCTGACTCAACAGTCAGTTTTCAGTGCACTTCAACCTTTTTAACTTGATAAAGTTAGTCAGTTGATGCTCCAGTATTCATATGTCTCACTGAATTATTTTGAGTCAGAAGCTAAAGATCATCTTGGCATGCGTATCAACACTGGAAGTGGCATCCCCATCAGAGGGGGAAAGGCAGAAGAGGAAAAGTTTTGTTACTCAGCACCAGTTAGTGCTACATGTACTTTAAAATTACTTTGTTTCCAGAGCGAGTCTATTGTTATCTGGATTGGAATGCTAGTGGCCATAAGGGTACGTCTGTACCACATCCCTCTTTTAAAAGAGGGATGTAAATTAGACATATCGAAATTGCAAATGAAGCCGGTCGGGATTTGACTTTCCTGTGCTTTGTTTGCATAATCGCATCACGGCGTTCTTTCAAAAAATGCTACTTCGAAAGTGAAACTGCAGTCTAGATGCAGTTCTTTTAAAAATAAAAGCCTTTTTCGAAAATGTATAGGATCTTTCGAAAAATGCTTTTCTTTTCGAAAGAATCCTGTCTTGACCATGGTTTCACTTTTGAAATAGCGTTTTTTGAAAAAAATGTCATGATGCGATTATGCAGATGGAAGTGTGGGAAAGTGAAATCCCGGCTTCATTTGCCATTTCAATATGTCTAATTTACATCCCTCTTTCAAAAGAGGGATGTAGTCTAGACATAGCCTAAGAGGATTGTGAGGGGAAAGATAAAATTGGAAAAGGTGGTCTTCAAGTCTCCTATATGGATGTAAGTGGTTCCTTTGGGTTAAATATTTGAGAGTGAGAGTTTGAATTCAGAATAAGAATTTTAATTTAAAAAACCAGCATGGATTTACCCACAGTTTTCTTTAAATTGTTTGTTAAATCAGTTTTTGTGATACCTGTCTTTTTAAAGAAAGGATTTGCTTATCATTTTACCTGTTTTCTGTTTTATTTAAGGCTTGTTCCCAAGTTGTTTTATAATTGTGACCAAGGACAGGCTGATCCAGTAGTGGCAGTTGCAAGAGACCAAAGCAGTGTCTACTTGAAACTCCTAATGCATGAAACTCAGCCTCCATCTCACTTTGCAGTGAGCACTATCACCAGGTACAGTATTTGCAGTATTGCATTTGCCTTGCTCTAATTAAAGAAACGTTGGCAATGGATAAGTACCTAAATTCTGTCAAGTGCTTGCGTGTTGCCAGGAAGACTTACATGAGGTGGTCAGGGTGGTCAAATATTGGAATAAATTGCCAAGGGAGGTGGTGGAATCTCCCTCTCTGGAGATATTTAAGAACAGGTTAGATAGACATCTGTCAGGGATGGTGTAGACGGAGCTTGGTCCTGCCTTGAGGGCGGGGGGCTGGACTCGATGACCTCTCGAGGTCCCTTCCAGTCCTATTATTCTATGATTCTATGATTCTATGAATATTTAATTTTATCCACTGTGAAATTAGAAGATTAGGCTTGAAGAGACCTCAGGAGGTAATTAGTCCAATACTTCTGTGATGGGGTGTGGTCACAGATGACCCCTCGGAGGGTGCCGACACTACTACTGCCACTTGCCTTCCCTCCCTCTGGGGCTCCTCACCACTCGGTCCTGCTGGGCCAGCTGCGTCTTATTTTCAATGGTGCAGGATCTTTAGAGTCAGTCAGCATTTTGAAAAGTTGTCTTTTATGTATAGGAGCCTAAAATTAGGCATCTAAACTTAAAAGTTTTGGTCTGCTGCAGTGATTAAAAAATTCTTGCCTTTGCTCCTAACTGATTAGAATGATTAAAAGTTGATATTAGAAATTTAATTACCCTTTTGTCATTTGTGGTGTTTACATTTTGCAATTCATTTAGCTTGGACTGTGAAATTAGATGGATCTGTTTATAGTTATTGATCTTCTAGTGTTCATCAACAAGCATAATGCTGTTGTGGTTTGAATTTTAACACTAAACAGAAATCATGAAGTAAATTGTTGTACATTAAAATTTAAAAAATTCTATTTGTATTATTGTAGGTTTCATAAAACTTTAAAAATGTATTATGGCCTAAATGTACTTGGTCACCCTATCTCAAAACACAAGAAAATAAGAGATCCAGAGATGGATGATGAAAATGATTAAACATATGAACAAATGAAGAGAGTGAAAAGGCTGGGAATGTTTAGCTCTCAAGAGACAAATAAGAGGCAGTATTGCAGATATTTTAATAAAAGGAATGACATAAGACAGGGGTGGCAAACCCGAGGCTGGTGAGCCGCATGCGTCTTGTGGGGGGAAAAAAAAATTGCGGCTCCTGACGGAACCGGAACAGAACCTGCAACTGCTCAGGTCAGCCGCTCTCATGGCCGGGCTGCTGTGAGTTGCACGCGTGGTCATGGCTTGCGCCATTCTGCTCATGGCCCCCAGCACGCTGTTTCATATCCTGCATGTGCAGGCCGGGTCGCACACTGTGTCCCAGACTGCACGGGCTAGCAGCCAGCCACTGAGTGCAGGCAATGGCTCTGGGACCCGGGCATAAGGTTGAGGGGGAGATGCTTGGCTTTGGAGAAGGGAAAGGGTGGAGGATCGGGGATGGAGCGGGGTTGCGCATGGTGTCCTGATGCGGCAGAGTGGCTCTGGCTCCAGGACCCAAGCATAAGGTTGGGGGAGAGGGGGATTGGGTTACAGCAGGGAGGGGAGGTGTTGGGGAAGGGTAAGGGAAAGGGGATTGGGTTGCACATGGCATCCTGGCCAGCTCATGCTCAACGCTGGCCGCTCAGTGCACGTGCCCCAGCACCTAGAGGGAGACGTACGGCTATAGCAGCAGCTCCGGGACCCAAGAATTTGGTTAGAGTGGGAGGAGGGGGATTGAGTTGCGGGGTGTGTGTGCCTGGCTTTGGGGAATGGGAAGGGGAGGAGAGGGAGATTGGGTTAAGGGTGTGTTTGCCTGGCTTACGGGAAGGGGAAGAGAGGGGGGATTAGGTTGGGGGGGTGTGTGTGTGTGCGTGTGGCGCCTGGCTTTGGGGAAGGAGAGGGAGACTGGGTTAGCGCAGGCTGCTCTTCCCCTCCCCATAACAGCTGGCACGCTTCCTGAAATGCTGGATCTGTCGCACCACTGGGGATTTTTCCCCTAGCTGCCTACCTGCACAGGAGGGGAGGGAGTAGGAATCCTGGAACTGCATGCGAGCTCCAACTTCTCAGGAAGCTTGTGGCTGTCATGGGGAGCGTGCGTTTTCTGAGAAGTTGGAGCTGGCACGCAGTCCTGGGAGACCGCCGCTTGCGCAGGCAGCAGGGTTGAAGGAAGTCCCTGGCGGAGTGACACACCAGGTATTTCAGGAAGCACACCGGCTCTTTAGGGGAGGGGAAGAGCAGCCCACATGCTTCCTGAGACCCACGATCCCCAGCACAGTTGGGGCCACATTAGTGAGGCTTGGCGGGTTTTGGAGAAGTTGTTTTTTTTTGCATTTCACTTGTGTGGCCCCGACTGACTTTTCTGTGGGTCAGTGACCACTGACCCAAAATAGATTCTCCACCCCTCTCATAAATAAAGACAATGCTGAAACATTTTGTGTTTGACATAATATTTTATTTAAAAATGAAGCCTGGCCAACAAGCCCCCATCTGGCCGCAACATTGTAACACTCCTTCACACACACCCCCGACCCCAGATCTGAGCCTATCCTACACTGGAACCCCCTGTCCTGAGCCTCTCACATCCCCAAAGTCCTGCACCCCCACATCCTCAGCCTTCTGCCACACCACTCCTGCACCATCTACACACTGCAAATCTGTGTCCTGAGTCCATCATACTCCCAGCCTCCCTGCCCATAGCCCCTCATGCACCTCAGCCCAAACTCCTGCACCCTCACAGCCACAAGCCTGCAACTTGCTCAGCACCCCAACCTTCCACCTGACCCCAACACTCTCCAGCCTGAAGCCCCCTCCCTGAGCCAGCATCCTTTTCTCTACTTCCTCCTGCACCCAGATTCCCTCCCAGAGTTTGCACCTCTCACTCCTTCCCAGTGCTTTTTTTGTGAGCCACAGTGGCAGTGGAGAATGGCAGCATGAAGAGCTGGGGCAAAGTTGTCAAGGTGCCCCTACCCCCAGCCGGTGGCCAGGATAGCGAGTGGTCTGAGAGCCCTAATACACCCAAGTCTTTGACTGCTAGGATGAAGGTCCCTTTGCAGCGGGCAGCCAGGGAGGCTGACGGGTGCCCCAAGAGTCTGCCCCGTGGAGGCGACACGACTCGAGACTTAGCTCTTACTGCGTTTACCCCGACCGGCTCTGATTCTTTTAATTGTGTCTGGTTCTGTTAGAGCAACAGAAGGAGTCAGGTTAAAACTTAAACAGTTACAAGTTTATTAGAGAAACTTATAATCATACGGTTACAATGTCTATTGCTCTACTTCTTAACTGCTAGCAAATACAGGTCTTAAGAGGTTACAAAGGAAGGAGGGAAAACAAAACACCAAAATAATGGTACCAAAATGACAACTTAGCCTTATAGAGCTCTAATGCTATATGTGCACAATGACCAAAGAAAAGGACACAAACAGGTACAATTTTTACTCCCTTCTGCATCTCTCAATTCCAGCGTGTCAGGCCACAATTGGTCACTCAATTCCTTGGAAAGATGAATGTGAGGCTGGGTGTCCCCATGTGGACCTCGGGAGTCCATCACGTAGCCTGACCAGCAGGCAGCTGATGAATTGATACTCAAAATGAGTGTGCTGCTGGGCCCATCTGTATACCCGTAGGGTCACGTATTCTTTCTTATCTAAGGTGCCAAATTGTGCTGGTTCGTCTTTGTGATGCCAGTTCTTACAAGGGAGTTGTGAACATAATTTACACTTGTGAGAGAGAACTAAATTGGGAGTACTGGACATTCTTTAATCAGCGGGAGATTCCTCTCCTGAGATGGTTGTGTGATTGTATCAATATCTGTGCTAGCCAAGGGCAGTTTCTGCAGCCTCTTGGTCAACGACTGGCTTGATGGCCCTCTTACCTATGTTTACAGTTGTCCAGGGTCACGATGAGCCAGCATATCCGGGCCTTCTGTCAAGGCATCAAAGACTATGCTGATTTTATTGCTCTCTGTGCCCTGTGTGCTTCTGAGGCATCTTAGTGGGCAAGCAAGATGGATGTGGCAGGGTAGGATGTGGCAGGCTACATTCCACCCCCCCGATATGACACACCACGTCCCGGGGTACAAGTTGGTGGTGATGCCAGCTCCTCTTGCCCTCGTTGGAGGAATCTGAAAGTACCCAATGGCCTGATTAGAGAGTTCAGGATCGAGGAATTGGCTAGGATCTCTTTCTAGTGCTGTATACCGAATTTGCGCAGAAGAGATAGCTACATTAACCAGGCGTTTTACAATGCACAATGTTATACAAAAGGTAATTACAACAATCAAAACAACTAAAATACTGGTTATGATAGAGTGTAGGAAAGGAGTTAAGGAGAATCCTAACTGTTGGGCCAACCAATTTAGCCATGAGTTTTTTCCATCCTTAGTTACGGCATGTAACACTTTAACTGCATCTTTTATGGCAGACACGTCTTGTTCTTACCCCATGCTGTCTGTTGCCACTTCCCTTGCCTCCCCCCAGAGTTAATTTGAGGATTTCGGTAGTCGCTGTCATCGAACCATACTGGTTCCCATTGAAAGATGTTGCTCTTGTTCCACCAGTCGTTTGGGCTGAGAGGGACAAACTCAATTCCCAGTCAGGTAGAGGAGTTAAGCAGGGTGCACATCCAGCAATTTGTGGCTCCGGCAGGGCCGCAAAGATCTGGGGAAAAGTTAACCGAAAAAAAAAAAGCAGCCATGGGATAGTGTACCAGCACCTATTTTCCCCCAGCGTGGGTTTTTTTAATTATTATTATTTTTTTTTCTGCTCAACAACTTTGCCCCGGCTCTTCACACTGTCTCTGCTGCTATTATGACTCTTCATCTGGAATGGGTTGGACATCTTTGACATAAGATAATCAGGCGCACCAAACTTCACATTTGCTGTTTAATCTAGCTGCATTTGGACACTCGACAGTGAAAGAAAATAAATTTATAACAGAATTCTTTTTAATACAAAACTAGTCTGTGAAGCTCATTGGTCCATGGTAGTGGTATTTTATGTTAATGAACCCAACCATAAGTAAATTAGCATATGTTTTAAAATGGAGAGAAACTCATGCTTCAAAGGGTAATTCAACTATCAGCTGATAAGATTAGGAAGAAACTTTATCTATTGGGAGGATGGTTATATCCTAATTGCCACAGTAGGTTTTTTAGTAGTGTATTTTTTTTTTTTGTGAAGCATCAGGCTCTGACAAAATACTTATATGTGCATCACTGATCTTTCTTTCTTTTTTTTTAACCTGTTCATATCTTACAAGTCATTCCTCTTTTTCTGTCTATTATTATTAAAATAACTTGAGTACCTCTCTTGCTTCTTGCATTGAAAACAAAATCTTTATGTTATGGAATAGTAGAAAAGTGATATGTATACTAATCTAATGGAAAAGTTTTTCCTTCTTGAAACTGTTGCGTGTGCATTATATCTCTTTTCTGTTTAGTCTTTAAGTGATATTTCCTTCTATGTTCAAGTTAACTAAATCCCATTAAATTAAACATTCAGTGATGAAAGATGCAAAATGTGCTTTATGAAGGAGCATTCTTTTGTTTGTATACAATTATGTTAGGCTGATTAAAGCATGATAATATGCTTAAAAGATCTATAAAATGGAATTTGAGTGATTCTTTGGTTTCCCATAGCGATTCTACTGTAGGGCTACATCTAGACTGGCCACATAAGACGGAATAGGCATGCAAAGCAGGCAAGTCAGAATAGGGAAATCCGCGGGGGATTTAAATATCCCCTGTGGGATTTAAATAAACATGGCCGCCGCTTTTTTTCCCGGCTTGGGGAAAAGCCGGAAAAGAGTGTCTAGACTGGCGCGATCCTCCGGAATAAAGCCCTTTTCCGGAGGATCTCTTATTCCTACTTGCAAGGTTGAAACTGATCTTATTCTTGCAAGTAGGAATAAGAGATCCTCCGGTAAAGGGCTTTATTCCGGAGGATCGCGCCAGTCTAGACACTCTTTTCCGGCTTTTCCCCAAGCCGGAAAAAAAGCGGCGGCCATGTTTATTTAAATCCCACAGGGGATATTTAAATCCCCCGCGGATTTCCCTATTCTGACTTGCCTGCTTTGCATGCCTATTCTATCTTATGTGGCCAGTCTAGACGTAGCCTAGGTGTATAGGCACTGTAGGCCTTTGCAAATAGGTCAGATTTTTTTTTTTCCTCAGCACTCTGTCATGGTAGCTTTACTGTCCTGTCACGAACTAGTGTGTGCAAGTGTAAGAGCAAGATTGTCCCGGATCCCCTCCCCTTTCTTCTTAATGCTAGTGATGGTTGTCAGAGCAATATCAAATTGGTTTTATTCAAATGCATCCATTATTCATCCTATATAGTTGTGGCCAATTGTTAGTTTCTCAAGTGAATTACTGTTAGGTTTCTGTTTTTTGTGGTGTTGGGGTAATTTTTTTAATTTCAATACGGGGCTTGGTACTGGAACGATGCCTTACGCCCCACGGTTCAAGTCTCATGGGACATGCTCAAAGTCTGTGCCTGTCAGTGATCCTCATCTGACCTGCCTGAAGTGTTAGGGTGGGCATATGTTAGTAATACATTTCACACCTGCAAGCGCTTTAAACCATATTCAAAGGATGGAGCAGCAAGGTGTAAGTGTTTGCTTATAGAAGTAGTGCTTCAAACTCTCATATGACATAGCATGAAGAGAGTACCCCAAATACTATTTCATCCGTATTTTTAGCACCATGGTCCTAATCCTTAGTACAGAAGATGAGACCAAGACTTTCCTTGGGTTCAGCATTTTGTTCTTCCATGTTGGTATTGAGACGAGATAGGAGCAACGACTCAACTAAGCTTGTAGCAGAGAGCCCCACCCCAGGAGCCTTACCTGTTAAGAAAGGTTCAGTGTCTCTGGACCCTTAACAGGTCCATTAGGGCTGTTCCCTGAAAAGCGTTTGAGGAGCCAGCAGTCAGTCTCATCTACCTCAGAGACATATGCAGCTTTTGTATGGATTTTCATCAGCACTGAAAGCCATCCATTTGCTTCCTGGACCCACAACTCAACTCTCACTGAGATCCCCCATTACTGCTATGTACTCCTCCTTTTCAAATCAGTTTTATCAAGAGACAAGCTTCTCTTTCTTTCATTGGTATTGCTATTTCAAGGTTCAGGTTACCTCTTTCTGGTAGAATCAGCATCATTGTCTCCCTAGTGTAAAGCTTCTGACTATTTGGACTCAAAAGTGCAATCCTCTTTACCCCAAATTGGGACGCAGCACATTTATGTTCTTTCACAGTCATTAGAGCCATGATCATTGAAGCAACCCAAACATTGGCCTTCTAAGGGGCAAAGACCTAGATAAGGATGGTCCAAGTCCATGCCAGTGGCCACTCTGGGCTCTGTGGGGTATCGCTCTTTGAGTCAGGATCTCCTCTCAACCATTTAGTCAATTGTGAGGGAGTGCATCAGATGCAAAGGCACTTGGAACTTCATTACTCAATACCTGATTTTGAAATGGGTACCAGGCCCTAAGAGCATCTCTCACCAGTACAGGCAGTCCCCGGGTTACGTACAAGATAGGGACTGTAGGTTTGTTCTTAAGTTGAATCTGTATGTAAGTCGGAACTGGCGTCAGCCGCTGCTGAAACTGATCAGTTTCAACCGCGGCTGAATCTGGACGCCAGTTCTGACTTACATACAGATTCAACTTAAGAAACCCAGGCGTCCCCAAGTCAGCTGGTGCTGAAACTGATCAGCGGCTGATTCCAGGAAGCCTGGGGCAGAGCAACTCTGCCTCGGGCTTCCT